CCCCCCCATATCGCTGCCCTTGTGGTGCCGCTCGCTATCGCGACGCTCCGTTGGGTTCGGTTTGTTTGGATGTCGCGTGTGCCCGAGCATCGCGGCCCTGCAGCGTTGTTTACGAGTGGTTGGGCTCGCTTGGGCATATCGGTTGCGGTAACCGGTTTTGAACTGACAAAACCTGCTTGGATTGACCAAAAGGTGCCTTTGGTTTGGACAGAAAAAGTATAATGGGATTCCCCCCCCCGCTTTGTATCAAGGAATACGCTTATTATAGATCCTCTTGGAACAGACAGGCTTCTGTAACGTCACTCTATGAAACACATATACAAAATAGGGGAGGCTGTGTTTTGGCTTTCACATGCACGCAGCAGAAACCTCCAGCAGTTTTGCTGAGGCACACTTCTTTTGTGAAGCTCTCTCCACAGCCTTCCCTTTCTTAAAGCTCGTCAGAAGCCATCATCTTCATGTACTGGACAAAAGTACTGAGATTTTGACTGGAGGGCCTTAGCCAAATTAGAACTTAAAAAGTGGATAAACATTAAATACTACTTGTGATGGTGGAAACTTGCTGCTATGAAAACGTTTAAACTATAGGAGCCACAGTCTTACAAGTTTTCTGGACACATGGAAACTCTCTCTGGCAGGAGCACAGGACTGGCTTCATCCTGGCAGAGCGCGGCTGCTCGGCTGTCGGGTCGCCAAGAGCCACATTCGGCATCCAGAAACGAAGTGCTCCTTTTAGAGTCCTGTTAGTGTCTCGTTCAGGTAGAGATGCTCAGAGCACACCTAAAATAGTTGGAAGCCCTGTCTTTTTTTTTCTTCCAAGTGCAGTAATGGCAGTATGTGCCTTTGTGCTGTAGGTTAGGGACTAAACCAAATACCGGGGCTCACTCTTTTCCTTCTCCTTCCCATGTTTTTCTCGGGGAGATTCAAACAGAACTGTGCCTCCGCTGCGGACCATGCTGTAATCACAGGGTCAGTTCAGGGAATATGAGAAGATCCATTTTCCATTGCTAGCATTTGAACTAAGTCTCTTCTTATCCCTGTATGCCTGTCTCCTGCTGTCAGGAGCAGTCGTGTCATAGAATGTCTGTCTCTCCTCTCTTTTTTCCCCCCTCTTCTTGTCTTCATCTTCCTGGATCAGTCCTCATTTGCTCCTGTTCTGGGAGGTCTTTATTTGGTCTCCTCCCTGTTCTTTATTCCTCTTTTCCAGAATACCTGTAAAGTGGGTTTCCTTTAGCCTCTTTGTGCATCTGACAAGGTAAGGGTTGTCTGTGTCTGACGTTTGAGACTTTACCTTTTGCAATGGAATTAATACACCCGGGGAAGTGAGTGTTATCTTGAAATAGTTTAGTATTTGCTTCTTTTCTTGAGGTATCACACAGGCTAGCTGTCTGTCAACAACGCTTGGGAAATGATTCATCTCCTAATCCTTTCCAATTTGGTAGTGCTTTTGGCAAAACCATGATTTGAACCACTGAATCGTCTCTCATTTTTATCATCTGAGGGCTGCCTGTAAGAGATTTTGGCTCGTGTAGTTTTACCTCCCATCTTTCAACTGCTGAAACTCTGCTACTGTACAGAGAAAAAATGGAAGGCGTAATCTGTCTTTGTCAAGGAAGCTGTACTTAATACACCCCAATTTAGGTTTTTCTCTATGCAGCTCAGCATGCTTGCCTTCAAAAATGTTTTGAAGCATGTAATCCAAGTATCTTGCTAGGGCTCTAGGGTTCTGGATATTTAGTTTTTCCTTTGCTGCTGTTGGTGTTTTTGTTTGGAATTAACCTAAGTAAGTTCTTAATTACATCAGTCCCTGTTGATCTTTTTAGTATCTGCCCCACCTATGATCAAGCATTGATTTGAAAAATAATAGGGATGTTTGAACTGGTACAAGCTTTCTAAAAACCTAATGCTGTATATTCAAGATACTAATTACAGATTATTTTATTATGAAGGTGATGATAAGCACAGAATTTAACTGCTGAACTTCTTCCTAAATTGTAATAAAAATAATTTCTATCTGCTAAAACACATTTTTTGAAAGGGCATGTTGTAAGTGTAGTTAATAATAGCAAAACTAATACAATTAATGAATTGCCACTAAATTTATGATGAGAAATTTTGTAGTTGTGTCTCTTAAAACTCCAGAAATCCCTTGGAATACATCGCTCGTGTGAGAACAGAATATAAATGAAAGTCAGTATTTTTATATGGAGGTCGTATGTTGGCCAAGGTGCAATCACTTTATAGGATTTTAAGAGTTTAGTGATTTGGGTTCTTTTAAAGTGGAGCCAAATTTAATGCTCTGCAGTTCTCGGAGGGAAAACTTCACACTGTTCAAAACCACGTTTTACTTCTTTCACGGTAAAGTAACATTTCTAGATCGGGAGTTTGCAGAAGGTACTGAAATAGCACTTCAAAATCAAAAGTTTGCAGAAGACTTCTTAGTGTTCTAGCAGCAGATGCTGCTCCCTTTGCAAATAAAGCTTTAGCAAAACAGGTTTTTCATGTAGTGTTTATATTCTGATGAAATTCCTTTTTTCTAAGCGGAAAATGATTCTGTTGAACTTTCTAGCTGCTTCTGTTAATCTTGAATTGAGGTAGTTAGGTTACATGACCTATTAGGATTATCTGTAACTAATAATTTTGTATGTATTTGCATTTCTTGGTCTTCTCTGTGTTTTGTAGTTTAAATGGAAACTGTAGTATGTGGGTTTTTTTGTTTTGTTTTTTTAACCTTTCCAGCATTATCCATGTTTGGAACAACAGTTGGTCTTTATGGGATACCCTGGTGTAAGAAATCCCTGCTGTTAACTGTCTTGATGTCAGTTATTGGAGCTTCCATGGGAATTCTAGACACAGGTAAGGGACCATGTGGTCCAATGATAGTTCCTTCACTGAACTAATTGGAAACTGCAAGCTCACCAAAACTGTTGCTGTATTTCACGTGACACATCTTGAATTAAAAGAAGGGAGCTGTTTTACCTGGCTGGGATTCTTTGATTATTCTGGTCCTGAGACTTGTAGTGTTTGTGTCTCTGTAACAGACCTTCCTTAAGGGGTTTGGGGAGCTGGGTGTCTCATGCTTCCTGGAGAAGATCAGTACGGGTTTCAGTGGGCAATTAACAGTTGTAAAGAAAGTGTCATGTGCTCTTTAAACAGTGTTTTCTTTAAATTACTCATCTACAGGAAGCTAGTTGGGTTATGGTTCATTAGTGCCAGCTGGAGCTAAGTTAGTCCTGCGCAAGCCCTGGTGTAGGAGAGAGAGATTCTCACGGTTACTGTGTTGGAGAGTTGGCCACCTAAAGCTGGCTGGGTGGCATTCAGGGGGTTCACAGCAGACGTTTGCTGCCATAGCTCGCTCACAGTACTGTGGCATCCATATCCCTGAATTAAGGGATTATTTGCTGCCCTTGGCCAGCCTTGCTTAGGTGGTCGGCAATACACATTTATTCTGTGCTCCAGATTGTAAGTCTGTGGTGTGTGCATACTGCAAATGGCCTAGAAAAAACACTTTTGCTAGAAAGCTATTCAAAGCCAATTTCTTAGGAGAGGCTCCTTAGCGGAGGACGATGTACTGGTGAAGCTGCAGAGGAAATGTCTACAGGTGCGGTTAGACCAGAGGTATGAAAAAGAAACTCCCACAGAAATAAGTTCAATGGGCATGGCTTAGAAGGGATGAGTTAGTGATGGCTGGCTGTAGCAGACAGTTTGGATCGTGAGGCGAGGCCATGGCAAGAGACCTAAGCATGCTTAGAGACGACTGAGGAACGCTGGCGTACTTGCAGATGGGGATCAGGAAACAACCAAAACCACGTCAGCAGCAGAGTGTTCTGCCGTTGCTGTAGAAGGTGGTGGTGAAGCTGCAACAGGCGGCCACTCGGCTGGCACCTCTCCAGTCGTGTCCCAGCAGCGTGCCAACTTCGCTGGCTTACTGAGGGAGCCTGTGGTTACTTACTAGCCAGCAAGGTAGTACTGGATCTGGTTGACCAGCTTCAGGGCAGGCTTATTTCTGAGAAAGAGCTGGCTAATGAATCAGCCTAGCTACCCAAACAGCTCTGGAAGCATCCCAGCCAGGGAGGGCTTGGTTTTGGTGGCTTGGCTGGTAGGCAACACAGAGGAATGATGAACCATCCGCTGTAATTCTGTGGAGTTTGAGGGAGCTCTCTTAACACTAAAAAGAGCATGATACAGGATCCAGTATTGAAAAAAGTGGTTTTGCTTGGCACAGGTTATGCTAAATAACCTGAGTGCAGAGGTGTATTTGCTGTCTCTGGTAGGATCATTATACATAGCACTTGGTTTAAAAGTTCTTCATGTGGGAAAATCTTGTCGGCTAATTGTAAAAATGCCTTCAGTGGTGGGTGTGCTGCTTGGAAGTCAGACCTTTGAGGCAGGGAGACTTCCCAGCCTGAGCAGGAGTAGCAGGAGAAACGAAGAGCAAGGCAGTAGAGTGTAACTGAATTCATTTGGAAGAGTGCTAGTGCTGAGTGACAAGGGCTGCTGTACTGTAGCACAGGAATTTGATTATTGTTCTTATGTTCTTGCATTCTTCTCAGGAACTACTTAAAAGTGTCTCTCAGATCTTATTTTTCTAGCATTATTGTTGATCTGAGGGTGTTGTAGTTTGGTCTTTGCAGCAGTATTGTTGTAAACTTTTCTGCTTCTGGAAAGTCATTTGAATGCAGTTGGGGTAGTTCGAGCCCATCAGAAGCAAGTGATTCTTGATATTTCCTGGGATGTTGTTTAATGAAGCCTCTGATTCTTAGCATTGTGCATTGTTGCTTTTAATACTTACAGAAATGAGAAGCAGTTAAACTTGCTCTTTTGAAAAAAGGCTGAAAAAATGCTGCAAATTGTCAAGCAGAGTAACAAAGTATGGCCATTGCAGCCGGATTAAGCCACTGCGTGGCTCTTCATTTTGACTGCTGTGAATACCCTCCTGAAGCTCAAGTAATCACGTGGGCTTAAGGTGCTTACAGGCAGAATTTCAGTTAACTGCAGTTTTGCACGTTGTATTTGCTAAACCTGGTATTATGCAAATTGAATTAGTAACGTAAGTTATGGTTTGCTTTGTCCTGTTCTTTCTTTAGAACAGTATCTGGTTTCAGACTGAAATGACTGAATCCTCCTCTCTCCGATCTGCAGGTGGCAATGTACTGGCACTGAATACCTGGGGAGCAGAGGCTGGGCCACACATGCAGGCCTTACACTTCAGTTTTGCTGTCGGTGCGTTTGTGGCTCCGATCCTGGCTAAAATGGCCTTGGGAGGCTCCGAATCTAAAGACCTTCTTCCAGTAGCTGAAAAGACAAACCAGTCTGTCCTGAGGTCTGTGCCAGCAGCATCAGCTGCATCAGCTGCATCAGCACTGAAACACCATCTTGGTGCAGATTTTTTGTGGTCCTATGTTGTCATAGGGACCTATCTTCTGTTAGTTTCTTTCTTCTTTTTTATTTTGTATTCAAAGGGCAGCTCAGCTCGAGACAAATCAAAGGCTTCTCTGCAGAAGTGCATGTTTGCCAAATACCACTACGCTCTTATTATTCTCCTGTTCGTATTCTTCTTCTGCTATGTGGGAGCAGAGGTCACTTACGGCTCTTACATATTTACTTATGCAAAGGTCTTTGCTGACATGAAAGAAAACGAAGCAGCCGCTTTGAATTCTGTCTTCTGGGGCGCGTTTGCCGCTTGCAGAGGAGTGGCAATATTCTGTGCTGCTTGCTTGTACCCTGGCACCATGATCCTGCTGAGTATCATCGGCTCTGCTGCCTCCTCTTCGTGCTTGGCCTTCTTTGCGAGGTACCCAGCTTCGCTGTGGGTTGGAACCGCTGTGTACGGCGCGTCGATGGCTACCATCTTTCCCAGCGGCATTTCCTGGATAGAACAGTACACGGTCGTGCAAGGAAAATCGGCTTCTCTCTTTGTGATCGGCGCCGCGCTGGGCGAGATGTGCATTCCGGCCGTGGTGGGGTATCTTCAAGGAAGGTTTCACCACGTTCCCGTGGTGATGTACACTGCCTTGGTGACTTCTGCAATGACAGTTATGCTCTTCCCTCTGATGTACAAATTGGCCAACTCTCCCGGTGAGAGTGACTTGAAAGAAATGAGTGAGAGCGAGGACCGGAAAGCTTTGTTGTCAAACTCGGGGCTTAATGAGGATGAAGAAGATGAGGAGGATGCGGGAGAGTGGAACGAAGCAGACTTTGAGGTAATAGAAATGAATGACACGCTGAGAAACTCTGTGATAGAGACCTCCCGTAAGATACCAGGGGACTCTCCAGCCAAAGTCTCGCTCCAGCCCCATCTGGACAATGTACTGCGCGATTCTCCAGTGGTTGCTGGTGGCTCCCCTGGGAGGAAAAACGTGAATGTTGACCGGGAGAAGAATGATTAAAGTAAAAGCTGACTTTCTGTTTTTGAAGGGAAATGCAATTGAATTGTAGCTGTTCTTGTAAAGTGGTTCAGGAATCCTTTTATAGTGGTGAGGAGCGCAGCGTGTTCATTTCTGTGTTTGTCCGGCCCTTTCTCCTCTTTCATTTTCAGTCTGCAGTTGTGTGGGAAAGCCCATGATGACATGAATGAGGTAACGTGGTAAAATGTATAGACTACACCAAAAATGTTAAAACGTAAGAGACGTTTTCTAAATGTGAGGCATGCGTTTAAGTAACATATGCTGTAATAAGAACTAACTATGAAAGAAGGGGACTGCTCAGACCACTCAGTTTTTTGGGGTGGGTGAAGGGTGCAGTTCTGAGGTGCTTGGTCACAAAACATTTTCACGAGAGAGGAGCGAAATCCGTTATCTGTGATGCTGAACTTCCTTACCTCGTGAAAGAGGAATGTTTCTACTGCATTGAAAGTTTGTGAGTGACATAAACCAGGAAATCAAGTCAAATTTCAGGTGATGCCCAGCGGCTGTAAATTGGATAACCTATTGGCAAACTATATAATTTCCTGGTTCTGTCACTAAGACGAGAAAAAATTAAAAATTAATTTTTAGGGGTGGAACCATGCCTTTTGGGTCGTTTAAAAGCGGTGTATGGGAAGGGGGACAAAATGGGTCATATTAATCTGCTATAATGCATAACTGATTTACTAGTTAAACAGTGGTGACAAATCTAAAAGGTCTAAAGTACTTGTGATTGTACTTGTGATTTTAATTACTGCATTACCACTGAAATCAAGAAAAGTATGATGATAAATTATATGTAAACAGATTACTTACTTAATATGTGGTATTGACACAGAGCTGTGGTTATTTTAAGCCAGTTGTTTAAATTAAGGTTATAACAACCTTTCTGCCTTCCTGTGCCAAGACTTGAACATAGCGATGCGTTAAAGTGAAAATTTGTAAACGAGAGAGGGAACTGTCGATGAGACAATCCTTTCTATCGTGTGCCCCTTGCCAGTTGGATTGGTGCCGTTTGGGTTTTGTTTCCTTGGGTGATGACTTAGGGGCAGACGCTTCCTACTGGAGCGGGAGTGGTTTGTAGTTGTAGGTTCATTGCTGCTAAGCAGCACGTCCTGGGGAAGGACCAGTCATGCCTGCGAGCCCTCCCCAGCAAGAGCCAAAAATGCAGCAGCTAATGGCAAAATCTGACTCTGAAGCAGCAGTCTTGCAATTTGTCTACTTGAAACTCCAAATTTGTAGGTTAAATATATTTTTTTTCTTTAAGGCTGTGTGATCAGAATGTGCTCATGTTTGGGGTTTTTTAACTTTGCACTTTTATTAGTGTTTTTCTTGCTAAGAAGTTTAATTTACCAACGCAAGAGCTCTAGATGTAACATAGCACAGAACCTTAGATGTTCAGTGTATTTTCAGGTCTGATTTTGTTCCCTCTCTTGTCCTTTGAGTGTGCAATCTCAATTCTAGCCTAGAATCTCTTGGCGGAGTAAGAAGCAGGAGTCAGCCTGTAGTGAAACGCGTACAGCTTTTGCATCTGGCCATGTTGAAGGGCCTCCCTCTCCCCCAGCTGTTGGCACTTAAATGCCATTGTGTTTTTGCCTGATTCCTATTTTTTTTTTCCTCATGTCTGTATGTGCACTTCCGTGGCATCTTTTCCAGCGCAATGCATGAACTTGCACTTTAAACATGGACTTGTTTTACTCACTACACAAGGGTTCTCTTCTTCGCTTGAAGTAATGGTAAATGCTTTTAAGTTATCAGGCCAAATCCTGTCCTAGGTACACGTGACAGCGTTTGTTCAAGAGGAGTAAGGCTGTATGGCCTCGTGTGTTCAGTCAGTTTCATATGGTAATAGAGGAGGTGGTGTGGCAGAGGTGGCCACTTAAGTAACTGCAGATCAAGCCTGCATTTCTTCAACTTCCCTGTTCCCTTTTTTCCTCCTGCACACTACAGTAACTGCTCTGTGTGTGCAGAAAGCAAGGGGTGGTCTCTGATGGTCAGGATGAATCCTGCTGGCGGATGGGGATGCTGGGGGGAGTGATAACTGCTTCTGCTCTGCTTTTGCAGGAGTTCCTGCCCCCCCCCGGGAGGTCACAGGTTTCCTTCGGCAGAAACTGGGTTTGGTGCAGGACAAACAAGAGCAAAAGATCTGGCCGTGGTTCTGTGGCAGCTCCCTGCTGTAACGGCAATCCATAGGCTTTACCTGAACCGACGGCGAGGTAAAAAAAGTTTCCCCATTCCTGAGATCATGTTGCCAGAAGAGAATTAGTTTAAGAAAGCCACCTGGCAACCAGGAAGATTTTAAATAATCCCCAATTCATATGCTAATTTTTGGAATGAAATTCCAAATTGGAATGTCCTCCAAGTAAGATTGTTCTCAGGGATAGCTAACATGTCTTGCATGATCGACTACTAAAAACCAGAAAATGCAACTAAAGCCACATTGGGAAATGTGCTCTTTGAACCTTATCTACTTACTGTTTAGATATACAGTTATTTGTGTTTCTGTCTGACTGTCTTCCCAACAAATGTGAAGATACTGTGCAAAACAAAGGTGTTTGTTTTTTTTTTTTTTTTAAAGTGGCTGTATTAATTATTCCTGCATGAGTCACTTGAATTCATCACTATTTTCTCCCTTTAAAACAGGAGGCTTGAGTAGTAGTAGGAATGCAGCAAGAGCCTGGAATGCCAAGGTAAGAGCAGCCTTTTTCAGAAGGTACAGGATCCAAAAACCAGTGGCAGGAAGACAGAGCGGAACTCCCGTAGTTATCTTGAGCAGTACTGTGTAGAATCATGTCTGATTGATATGTGCAGGCCTTTGTCTGGATGGTGTCTAAACTCTGAGTCATCTCAGTGAGCATTTATGAGCCTTCAGTGTCTTAGTTCTGGCCTCAAACTTGAAATGGAATGTACTTACAGAGCTCGTTCTTATCCCCTAAAAGCATGCTTTTAATAGCAGGGGCTGCCCTTTGATGAGAATGAAATGTTTAAAGCAATTTAAAACAGATCTAGGACATTTCCAACAATGAGCCCAGCTCACAGCAGTTCTAGACAGCCTTGATGTTCAAGGCTGTAGCTTCCATAGTTCCTGGATTTTGGTGTTCCTCAAGGCTTGTTTTTAGACAATGAATGTTAGTTTTCACAGGTTTGAATTTCCTTCCAAAGTAAGTAAATTGCTTCCTGGCATATACAGTTAGAGTGAGGATCTATTTACAGTGCCTTTTAAGTTACAGATCCTCCAGAAAGCTTAAACTTACATGTTATGGGTTGAAATTACTTGAAGCAAACTGTATTACTTTACCTTACCATTGTCTTGCTTATGCTAGAAAAGTCATCTCGATGTTGAGGACAAGAACCGCGGTCCATGGATTAGATGAGGTATCTGAATTTTTGTTCATAAAGCCAGGACTGAGTTGAAGATAAGCACTTGCCCATTTACTCTAGTGCTAAAGGTAACTTCTTACAGTTAAATGTCATTTAATATTTTTATTTATCCCCACTGGATTGTACCACAAGCACTAATGTGTTAGTCCTCGCATTTGCACTTTTATTCTGTACATGACCAGTGCTAGAATGCAAGAGTTGGGAAAGTTTTGTGCCTTGATGGTTGGGTTTTTTTTTTTTTTTTAGTTACTTTGCATAAAAGTGCATTGCAATCTGTGGGTGTTCTATTATGTATTTAATAGTTTTTATTCTGCTTGGTGTGGGTTTACATTGTACCGTATAATGTGGAATTTAATAGACTGACTTGTATCTTGAATGTAATAAATTCTTAACTGGAGAAGGCACTCAGGTTCCTTGATGTAAATAAAGCTTTGTTCTATTTTTCAAAGCTACCCTGGACTTCTAAATTTAAAACTTCCTCCTGTTTTGACTAATAGGAAACTGGAAATGTTTCTCTTCTGGTTTGGGGAAGGCCTTCAAGAGTTGATACTGAGGTTTTAGATCCCAAAGCTTAAGGTGGAAACCGAACTGTGGCTTCTTTGCTCAAATAAGAATTGTCTTGTTTGCATTACTATTTGTGTGCCCAATGAGGGAAACAAACGTGTCTGCAATTGAGGGTAAATGTAAAAAAAGCATGCAATTTTTACCGTATCATTTTATTCAACTTTAATATGGTTTCCATTATTAACTTCTAAAACAAAATGATTTCCAGTTTAGAAAACAATGCACTGACCACATAATTCCTTTTCCATTTTATACAGTTATACAAATATTCTAAATACACATTTTGTCAAGATGGTGGCAAATAAGATTTAACTGTACAGTACATAAGGAAAGAAAATATTTTAAGCATATTTAGAAGCAATAGAAATGTCTATACAAAACAAGCAAAAATGGAATAAAATTTTATATTTAAAGTATTGCAACAGTCCCACAGGTTTGTAACAAAAATGTCTTTGCACAGTTCCTCACAATGCCCCATTAATAGCTAAAGCAAGACAGCAATTTTTAGAAAATAATGTTTCAAAATGCTACACATGATACTACTGTTTGCACAGTCTGATCAAAATAACAATCTACTTGGAATCAAGCAAAACTTAGGAGGAGATATACCAACCAACTTTAAAATTATCTGTATAAAAGTCATTGCACATTATTTTACTCAGTTGTTTGAAAAGTAAAAAAGTGTATTTACAAAATATTTCGCAGACAAAATTATAAAGTGAATGGATAATATGTAAGTAACACGTCTTGATACTGACAGTTCAAGAACACACACTAATGGTTTTATCGTTTCAAGAGGTTTTCAGTGCTCCTTCCTCCAGGAAGTAAACTTGACTTCTACTTTGAAATGGATTTACAAGATGTTACACATAGCTATTTCAACATCAGCATTATAAAACAGTATGTTAGAAACATGAGAGAAAGAAGAAATTTGTACATCTTAAAAAGTGAGCTATTCATAGATCAACAAATGTTTGTTGTTTTGTTTTTATGTTTGTTTTTTTAATTTAGTTAGGATAAGCGTTCATTATTCTTCAGATAATAAACCCAACAGTTAAAATGGAAATCCTGGACTAGATGAGAATTGAAAAAGCACCATGCACAATAGTCTTAGTGTGGTAAACACTGAAGAAAAAAAAAAAATAGCACCTGGAATCCTGTAACACATATCATTTAAAACTGGTCAAGTAGCTGGCGAAGATACGGTGCCTTTGACAGTTCTCTGCTTACTCTGGAGAGCTTGAAAAGTACTGGACAGTTGAGGGAGACACACTGGATCTGCCGATCAAAGCAGCCTGTACAGTTCTTGCATATCTAGAGTACATGTAAAAAAGCAAAACAGATTATTTCAACCTTAACACAAGCAAGGCATAATCACTTGGGACTACCAAGGCCTCAACGTTCTAGCAGCAGAACAGGCACAGCCCTACCAGCACCAAGCTTTTCCCCAACGCAGAGGGATCCAGAGCAGCTCCATTCTCTGCTGCAGCCAGACTGCTCATTGTGCTGCTGCTGCCTGCCCAGACCGCACCTGGAACCCGGCAGAGATCAACAGCTTGACTGTACAGCTCGGGTTTCAATCCTGCTAATTTAACTTCTGCTCATATGTGGTGGCACTTGGAAAAATAAGGTCAGTAACTTGAGTGGATTTCAGTGCGGCAGTGTGTTATATTCATGTTAAACTTACCCTGTATAAAAGTTTCCTAGTGAAAAAAGACAAAACTGTTATTCTGCAGTTATTCTCTACCCAGGAAAGGGACTTAATAAACTACTCCTGTTTCAAGATAAGCTTCAATTAGAGTTTTACTTCCCAAATCAGAGTTAATCAATCCCAAGACAAACACACAGGGCACGTAGGTTCCACTGCTCTCCTCATTCATGGAACTACTCGTTAACATAGTTAATGCTGCTTGGAAGTACTTGTAACATGAGATGCCTGATGAAATAAAATAACAGCAGGCACAGATACTCCAAAGGCAGCTAAAGGCCCCTGCTTTGCTATTTTATTTTTAATCCTTTCCAGTATCTGCCACCTTCAACAGTTTTTCCAAAAAGTCAGAAATTTGCTTCCAACCAGACCTGTGTTTTGTAACATCAAAATGTTACACAATGTTATCCTATGGTTTGCATAGTTTGAACACATCAAAAATCATATCCATTGCTTTTAGCATCAGTTCTTTTCCTTCTTTCCATGTTAAAATTATTTGGGCACCAGTGACCCTCTCAGCCAGACCTGTATCAGCATGGAATCCCTGCAGACCAGAAACTCAAACTGACAACAGCTGGAGGGGAGCAGCCCCTCGGCCATGTCCCACATGCGGCACCTCAGAGGATACCAGTCCTCTGACCTGCAACCGTGACCAAAAGGAACAGGACTTAAATGGTTTGTTCCAGATTTGTAACCACTAGAAGAACCTCAGAAATAAGTCTACAAGAGTTCTTTTGAGAGGGACTGTGGCTGGTTTGAATGCAAGGGACCAAACTAAATGGTACTTGAGACACTTTCCAAGTTCAGTTTGCATAGAGGGGAAAAGTCGATGGCCTTAATCTATGGCATGTAATTTTTAAGTGCGTTTTAAAATAAGGTACAATTCAGTGTTATCAGTTTTCTGCTGGCTCTGGCATGTTTATAATCTAGGAGGGCCAAGAATTTAATCTGTGAAGGATATGTACATCTTCATATTAAAATAAGACAGGTGCTCTTACAGAGAGGTTGAGTCATCAAACCCTAACTAGAACGGGATCCCAGGCCTTGCCGACCTGTTGCATGTTGCAGGGACGAGCGTGTTCTGATCAAACCCACTGATCCTTCCGTGGGGCTGCACCAATCTGCCAGGTTCTGATTTATTCCAGAACAAAAGCAATGTAAAAGGTTCAGAGTACTACAGGAACCCTGCAGAACATGCAGCACCTTCCTTTACTACCATTTACAATGCAGATTGGAGCAAATATTACAAAATACAGCAAGAAATAGAAGTCCACACCTTAGTAATGCAATATTTATGAATGGTGAATTATAATGGTTTTCTAGCGAGAGCCCCATGGGAACCTATCAAATCAATGCCTAGACTACACTAACATTTATATCCCTGCAATTCAGAAAAGTCTTTAAAATGGTTCATGCGCTAGTGCTAAAAATAAATTTAAACAAAAAATATTATTAATTATAAAATACAACAGTACAAAAATTAGGTGAGGATATGCATATGTTTCTGCAAGGGGAGGCATTGTGCTTTGCTGTAATATATTCATGAGCAGAGTCAGCTACCCTCTTAATTGACTTCTAGCTTGAGGGAAAAAAACCCAGCTTGGAAAATTCCTATCGAGAGGAAAGGTAACAAGAAAACCCCCAAGCTAAAAAAACCCCATCCATGTTATACACATAAATAAATAAATTTTCTGGGACAAATGTTTTTGTTACTTGAACATCGTCAGTTATTTTAATGCAAAAAAGGTGAATCTTTCACACTTTTACAACTCTCCATCACTGTCATTATAAAAAGGCACCTACAAACCATGTAAGATACTCTTAAAGAAGAAAAGGAGAAAAGCATCTTCTGTTCTGATTGCCCCCTTTGCCTTCAGTTTTATCCAAAGCTAAGGAGAGTAACAGCTGTTGTGCTGCCTTCAACAGCAATGGGAAAAGCAAACAAGCCATAACGCATTTAACACCCAGATCGTACTTCCCATTTCTGTTGGGGGCATTCAGTAACACTCTGCCTTGTAATTTCAGCCCCTGTCTGGCTGACAGACATTTGACAATGCTTTAATCATACCTTGACCAGCTGTTCTTGCTTACGCTCCAACTCTCGGATTTCTTGGTTGAGAATCACTGCCACATGCTGTGGCTGGCTTCTGCATTTATTACAGATCCCATACTGGGTCAGTTCATCACACACGGGACAGTGTAAGGTCGTGAAATACTGGGAGATTGTGCCTTTGCGTCCTTCTAGCTCACTGCGGGCAGTCGAGGCAGCTTTTTGTATCTGTTAAAAAAAGTAATTAAGAGGTAATGAACTTTCAAGAGAGCAGCTCACCTTATTCCTAGATTACGTAGCCTATTTTTTTAAAAAGGACTATGAAAGTGCAACACAGCCTGCAAGGCATGGGTTCATACACAAATTACTAACATGGATTGCATCACTCTGAAGACTGTAGCACTTGCCCTGAAGTGACACACTGAGCAGAGCCCACCCACACCTATTTCACAGGGAATCTCACCAGAAAAGAGCAAGAGTAACCAAAGAAATCCTGTCATGCTAAATTCCCGATCTCATCTCAAACTCTGCCTCCTGCAGTTGTTCCTTTGTAGATGCTGATCTGCTCCACATCCAAAGGTGCCCTGGCTGCAGCCCCAGTGGCTGCCTTCCAGATCCTGCCTCGCCTCGAGTTTCTGTGCCGGTGCAGTCCCGGTCACAGAGCTGCCACCGTCCTTTGGTCTGTGGCTCTAGCTCATGCTCCGATTTCCCCAGACAAAGCTCCACCAGGGAATTTCGTTCTGCGCACTCGCTCCTGGTGCTGCATGACGTACGCTTTGTGCTATCCTTCACTCCCCTGCCTCAGATGCCCAGCTGCTCTGCTCCCTATGACCTCCTTGGTGCTCCCTGGCCTGGCTCTTTTTGCCTTTTTAGAGCAGCTTGTTGGAGATATTTAAGGTGCGTGTCACAGTGCCATCGAAAGGTACAGAAAAGAAGCAGAACTGAAGTCAGTCAGGGCTATATTAAAAGTCTGCAGTGGGAAACATGATGTACTACTATGATGCTGAAGCCTACACTGAGCAGAGTAACCAAACTACAGAGATACACCGTCTTTCACCATCCCTTTTAGTCAGGGAAATGACAAACTAAAATCCAGCTATCTAACACTTCTCTTCCTGCATCTCAGTGATTTAACTTTTAGGAAAGTCAGTTTTGGATATAATTAGTTTAAAATTTCTGGTGATGCAGATTTTTAAAAAAGTGTTCCTGCTGCTGGGGCACTACTGCCTTTTTTATAAAGAGGAAAGATCTTCAGACCATCTTGAAAAAACAGGAGTTCCAATATCTACTACAGAAAGATGTAAAAGGTGTTACAGCCATATAGACACATATACAAGTACTGCTAAAAATACACAGTTACAGCAAAATATTCTTTTAAACTATGGAAGGGGTCAGAAAACAGATGATGATGGTGCAATCAACCCTGCACAGAAGGGCTGGCTGAAAAAAACTGGTTTACTAAGTGAAAAAAAACCACACAGAAGATCTAAGAATCAGGTCTGCCTGTTTGGGCATCAAACACTGCCTTGTAAAATAACCTTTGCTGTTGCCTTGTATAAACCTCATTCCATTAAAAGTCACGATAAAACCAAACACTGTATAAATGCACTGCATTTGTAATCTGTTTTCAAACACTTACCCGTGGCAACTCATGGTACCAGCTGAAGACATCTATGCCAATAAGTGAGAACACCCTAGCCAGCGGTGGCAGAATTTGTTTGGTAATATAGTACATAGCATTCAGCCTCAGGTTGGGATCCTGTAGGACTTCAATGGGCCGCCTCACCAGCTGTATCAGGGGCAGTCCCGGCATGCCGTAAACAATGACATAGGGCACTCGCTCCCCAACTCGTGGTTCAGAGCGACGATCATAGGCAAGCATTCTCCTGTTTAAAAATAGCCTTTATAATGCATCCGGAGACAATTCATAGTCATTTCATTTGCTTGTAAGCTTCCCCATCTGATATTAGTAGCTCTCCAGGCGACTGAAGTTAGTGTCTATTATAAAGCACAGGACCCAATTGTTTTTAATTTGTCTCATGGTCAGACCCAAAATTTAGAACTTGGAACGTGAGCCCTAAAGATATGTTCTGTTTCAGGTCACTTGGATTTGCATGCAGGTTGCTTTCTAGCTACCCCTTCCTTAAAGAAATAATCTAATAAAGACCAGCCAGGGTACTAAAAAGAGTTCAAGTACCCAGAAAGCAAAGGACCGTTCAATTTGAGCAGGTATCAATCCATGACTTGGAATTTTATTTTATTTAAAACGCATGGCTTAATTTGAAGACCTTTTATATTAAGCAAGGTGGCAAAATGTGCCAGCTCACATTATCTATTACTGATAAACAGTATCAACAGGATGAAATATTAACTTTAATTAAGGTACTTTAAAAAAAAAAAAAGCAAAGAAAAAATTATGCCTGGTAATGTATTTCACAGCACTGAGAGACATCACTATTATAATTTTTAACATATCTAATATCTGTGAGTGATGGACAATCTTGGAGAGTGTCAAGCCCTTGTACAAAACCCAAATAAGTAATATACTGTTACAGCATCCTGACAAGACTTTACTCTTAAACATGTGTAGCTCTTTCCAGGACTATGAAATGGCTTTCTAGGACTACCTGATGCATGATCTCTCTTCACACACACGGAATAAAGTCAGAGCCAACTGCTGCAACGATATTGAAAGCAGACATCTCACTGCTACCCAGAACTATAACTTGGCAGTACAAAGGTCAGCAGAAAAAACATCTACGATTAGCATTTCTTAATCTCATTACCTGGTGATTTCCAGGGCTGGTACACAGGATCCAGGTCTGTAAGCTGAGCTCCCTCTGTACTCTTTTGCAAAGATGAAGTCTTGCATGCTGGCTTTTCCTTCCAGTAACTTCATGCATTGATTCTGAACGTACTGTTTGATCTGACTTATGTCCCGTGTTTCAAATAGCAGCTTGATAGAACGCTCAAGTATCTTTAGAACCAAAGGAGAAAGGTGAGAAAAACACGTATGTTTAACTAAAAAATATTAATGCCAAATAATTCAGTAAATTATATGGAAATATTAATACACTGCTTAGAAAAAGTATCAGTTGTGAACTAGAATGTTAATATGACAACAGGTTGCATTCTGTTCCACTCAAAGACATTCATAAACATGTTACTGGACGACTTTTTCCTCAGTTTGACACATCTTTCATGACATTAGCCGTACTCTGGCACTAAGACTGTTTGAACAATTAGAGAGGATTTCCAGAGTATGAGAGAAGGTGTTTTTTCCCGTCATCTATAATATTTTGCCATGACTTTCTGACCACCTCAGCAAACAAAAGAATTGGGATTAAGAAGAAAAATGGAAGTAAATCCTCCTAAGGGGTTACCTTCCTTAGTGGCATAAATTTGTTTTGACTTGATTAAGAACAAGGGCCTTTTCTTTTTAACCCCCCCAACACATGGCTTAAAATAAACAGACAAGGAAGTTTATTTTAAATGAATTCTTAGCTAAACTAGATTTATTTAAGTGAGCTATTTAGCAGACACATCAGTGTGCCTCACTCATCTTGGAGTAATACTTACTTCCAGTTAAAGTGAACTGGACCAAGAATGGTCTTCTAGAGAACTTACATGGGGCTGAGGACTTTTAATGAGGTTTTTAGGGGCTGAAAGACAGTAGTTAAGAAGAAAGTGCAAGTCCTTGTAATGCTGTGCAAGATCTTCAATTTATCTTTCAAATGGTTCATACCAGAAAAACAGGTGAAGTCTCAGACAACTTATAAGGACCAAAAACTCTGAGAAAGCACAAATATACAATGAAATAACAGAATACTGTAATTTCATTCAGGATTAAATGCATGAGTATTTTACCTTGGAAACAGCAGGACAGGAGTCCCTTCGGACTGTCTCTATGCCTTTTGCGTCAAATACTGGGTCCTTCTGCTCCAGTGTTTCATACATGTAACCCACGTACCTCTTTTTAGTTTGCAGGACACATGGCAAGTAGACCTAGAAAGTTTAGAAAGAAGATAGCCCAATCTGGCATGTGTTGGGAATATAAGGTGGCTCTGAACATAGAGAGTTTCCTAAGGAATACTTTGGTTTGTTGTTGTTTGTTGTTTTAAAAAATCATTAAAACCAATAAGCTAGATCAAAGGACTGTTAAAGAATGGCTGAGGAAGTTGGAATTCAGTGGTGTTCCATTCTTAAATCACTTTATATTTCATCTAGCTGTAAAGGCTAAGCAACCTGAAACTCAGATGAAAAGTGTCACACAGTATAATTTGTTTCTAGTACCCTTTTCTGGATTGCAACTGTCAGCATTTTTAATGTAACTGTATTATCTCTCTTTCTTTAAAAGGCAACAACTTCATTTTAAACATCAGAGAAGAAAACTTTCCCAGGGAAACTAGTGGCTTTGAACTTCCTATTTTCAAACTTCATCTAATTACGAGGTGCCTCAAATCAGTCAGTATCTTGATTTGGGGAAAAAGCATGCTTTTAAAATGCCTATGCTGGAGAACAGTTTCCTCATGAATGGATTTTTAGGGTCATGATCTCTTTTGCTTGTTTTCTCCAACCTCTTATTTCATTCTTGATTTTGTCAGTATTCCTTGACCAGTTTTAAAAGAAAGAATGGGGAACAATTTCTTCCCCGTATTACTAAGATAACACCGCATCTTTGTGGCTCTCATGGAAGAGGGAGCAGTGAGTTTAGATTGCCTCAGCCTGAAGAAGGTCCTGCACATAGGTATCCCCCTTCTTGAACAGATGCTCCAGCTTTGAGGCATTTTCCTCCTCCTGTGCTGGGAAGCTACCCTAGGAGAGTACTCAATATTTTGACCCACAGGTGAATAAGGGCACTTGAAGTGAAGCACTTGAACATCTTCTCAAGTATATCCTTGCACCTAGTATTTTTTTCTGGCTAATTACTCCTTCAGCTTAATGACACAGAATTGCCTCGAAGTGGGAAGGGTCCCTGTACATTAGTCAGTGAGGAAAAGTTTCTGTGCCTTCCACAGGTATCCTGACTTTTCTTGCTAATATTCTTCTACTGTATTTTCTGTGAAAAATGGTAATTTGCTTACAAATTCGGATTGAACCTGTTGAGTCAGGTATGTACTTTGAAAACATCTAGAGCACCTGAACTGATTGCTATGACTTTCCAATGATAAACTTCCACCAAAATTAGTATCACATTGCCTTGCTCTTCTATAAAAGGCTTATTGTCATTAATACTTCTTCCAAAAGCCTACTGAATGGATTTTTATAATTTTTCATTTTATGTGTATATGTATCACATGGACATATCCTGAAGTGTGCTAAGGCTAGCTGAAGAATAAATATCAGGTTTGTAATTAATGCACTGGAATAATTTCAAGGCATGGTGTACATTTTCTTTACCAAGTTGCATATGTTGGTTTGATTGTACGTATATAATACAAAACCGAGGGAGACATTTCCAAAAATTGATGAGACAGGAATTTCAAATTGCCTGGTGCTGTCAGCACAACCTGATGTGAAAGTAGGAATACTACTTTTTGTTGTTCACGCTGCAGCACTTGTCTGACAAGGTCCCTGAGGCATTAAGGAGCTTGCAATATACCCACAGAAAGAGTACAGCATGACTGTTGTATATCCTTATGCTATGTTAGGGTCCATAAAAATCTTCTATCTCTTTTATCTTCACTCTTTTTTTTTTTTTTTGGAAAACAATGTTTCCACCCAACACACTTGAAGCAAAATATTTTCCTTTTACCTTTTCAAACTTCAGTTTAACAGGTTTTGGATTTGTTGCTGTTACAGCTTCAGCAATTTCTTGACCAATCTTAAAAGACTGCTCCTTCGTGGCTCCTTTCAAGAGTACAAACATGCTACAAGAAATCAGACATAGGAAATAAGGACAAATCTGTTCAACATAGTTCCTGAAATTTATAAGCTATAGTTTCCTGGTGGCAAGGCAGGGATGTTGCTATTAATTCTGTTCCCTTCCTTCGCTAGAAAAGCCAAAAACCTGCAAAACTTCAGTGTTCAGTGTGAGATCAGGAGTGCCAAAGGCACGATGAACGCTGTGACTTTCTGGTGAGTCAGGGAACAGGACTGCTCCCAGGCACTGCAAAACTTGCGTTCCTGTGAGAGAAATGTAAAGAGCTCTGGGTACACCCTTTTTTTCTGTTACGGGCAGCAACAGGATTTTACTTTCTTTCTCCAACAAATTTTTTTTTTTTTTTTTGTGAAGCTACTATGAATTTAGTATCTTTGAAATTTCAAGTCTTTCATCAAATCTGGCTGAAATAGTCATTGGATTCACAAGTTATTAAGGAAGGATAGCCACAAGCTTTGTTTCCCATGGCTGAAAAATTATCCAAGTCTAGCACCAGAGATTTATATGCCTAGAGCATGGCTATTATTCAGATGAAAGATTGACTGAGAAAGGGGAGATATTTATATGATGTACTTCAGGCAGCCTAATCATATCTTGGTATGCTCTGGTGACTGCTTCTGAATTGTATCCACTTTTGAAGCTTAAAATAGTGTTTTCCTCTAAGTATTAACATGCAATGCCTACTATATTATAAATACTCTGTTTTCCAAAATAAAAATGACATCAGAAAGAGGCACAAAAATACTCATTTGATAAGCAGGACTTACATTGATTCACACCTCAAAAAATATTATTTTTTCCCCCTCTTTCTGTTTCACATTATTTTCAAAAGAAAGAAAACCCTCAGAGTGCTTTCTAAAAGTCCAAAAAGAAACTCCAAGAAAATAAATATTATTTACTTTACATTTTATGCAAGACAGTAAGGAGCACCCCAAAGAGGGTCCACGTACTCTTTCAGTATCATAACCTCCCCTTGTTGAGACAGAAGAAAAACTGTATCTAGGAAGAACCACTATGACTTTAAAATATCATAAGAAGCAGACCATTAATTACCTGTCAGTATCACCATACACAACGTGAGCACCCCATTTTTTTGTATCATTCACCAGTTTTATAGCACGCTCCAACGTTTCTCTGGCTTTGTGGACAATGCTATCGCCAACCTGCAAAGTTAAAGATATATTGAAAATCTTTATTCTACTGCTAAACCCAATACTAGCTCTTGGTAAACATAGTCTAACCTCGCTTGATCTGTTAATGAAAATTACTATATTGAGACAATGTATTTTATTTAATGGTTTAAATGCATATAATAAATAAAAAGGTTGCTTACATTACCCCAAAATAGCAAGAATTAAAGGAAGAGCAATGAAAAATTATTAAGAATTAAAATAAAGTAAAATTTGGTTTAAACTTATTTAGGCATATTAAAAGTGTAAGAAGCAAGACAAGATCGCTTAGGATCATTTTCTCTGGTTTTTGGATTCTGCCGATTCCTCCTTTTATGAAAACTATAAAACAGTTACAATGTTTTATTTTATTTCCACTATTAGAATTGTAATTCAATCTACCTTTGGAGAGAGTTCTATAGAAATGCCAACACCAAATGCTCTTTTAAAGGAAGAAGAAAAATAAGGCTTTTTTTTTTTTTAAAAGGATCACAAATCTCAAGTTGCTGATTTTCAGTACTACAAATAAAACAGCTTTTATGAAGGTATTTAGATTAAATATATTTCATATAATAATACTCTGTTATCTGACTATACTTTATTAATGTGTCTTTTCCACAGTTTTTCTGCATTTTTATCTGCAACCCTTACCTCAGTACACGGCATTCTTCCAGAAAAATTAGCAGCAGTATAACCAAAGGTAAAATTAGCTATAAATTTAAGACCCAGCTGACGAGCTTCAAGCATTCGAGTTATAGCCTTGTCATGCTTATAGGCCTTCATTGACTGTTTCACCATTATCCTAGTCTTCAAGATTTCTTCTAGCATTCTTGGCAGCACACCCTTTCTTACTGAAGGCTGCCATAAAGGGAACAAAGAAAAAAATTACGTTAAGAAGCCCAGCCTAAATAGTTAGGAGTAAAAGCAAAACCCAGAACTGTTAGATAATCACTGTTAAGGAGACAAATTAATTAGCAAGATGCCCTAGGCACCAACGGTTTGGCTCTTCCCACAAATATTACAAGCAACCTAGAATACAGACAAAGCTCTTAAGGGCAGGGTAAATAGCTTTTTGTTCTTTGTTTTCATCAGCCCTGCTAATGCAATGTTTAGATAACCTTATTAACTAAAACGGGACTTCAATATTTAACTGTTAATTTTCAAAATGTTAAATGCTAAAGGAATATTATCTTTTAAAAATGCTGCAAATATTCTTTACTTAAAGTTTTTGTTTTACATTAACTATATGTACGCTGGTGATTGGCTAATTATTTTTAAGAGCTCCAGGCCATATTTATTAATTCATTACAAATCAGCCAGCAGTACACATAACATAAAATGAGAACAATAGAAAGCAAGTCAGGGAGTTTCATGTCCCGAACCATGACTCCTGTTCTAGGAAAGCATTCTGCTATACAGGCAGGAGAAGAATGAAGTGTTACACACAGATAATTACTGTTTGATCCCCAAACTGCACAAGTAAAATACAGTTTAATTATAGATGAAATAAGCCTTCAGTATAAATGAAAGCATAAAGATGACATTTTATTTCCTGAACTGCCAGAAGTTCAGCACTCTGACAAATACCAAAAAACACTGGGAAATGAGTGACTGAACCTCCCCCTTCTGTCTGCTCTTAATGCAGCAAAATATAAACTACAGTATCAATTTGATCTTAAGCTAGTCAGCCAACAGGAAGTGAAAATGCCTGTCACAGAGCACTAACATCATTACCTTGACAAAAGCTACTCCACTGGGTGACACTGTGATATCATGCCTGATCTGGTAAAGTAAGTCAGGAGGTACTCTGAGAGATGTACAGCCAAATTTGAATGCATCATATCTGATAAAGAGAAAAAATAAATATGAAGACAATTCATTCATTTACAGCCTGATCAAACAAAAGCATCAACTTACATTAAAATGCTGATAATGCCAGCAAGGATAGAATCACAATTATAATCTCAGGTATAAACAAACATATTACAATTTAAAATTTCTTAGCTACATGCAAAAGGCTCTAGGAAGAAAGTAGTAATAAATGGCTAAATTCCAATAAATGTGTAATTTATCAATTCTGTTCTGCATTAATGCATTATTTCCAAATGCTGAGTTAGTAGAGGCACATACTCATACTGTAATCCCCTATGGAAACCATGAATGCTTACCAAGTAACACATTGCATATATTTTTCTTACAAATCAGAATTTCAAATCAAAAACTTGAAAACCTGATAGTGACACCTAGCAATCATCGCATGCATCTTCCCATTCTTCCAAATACTATTTTATAGAGGTAATTATAATGAGCAATGAGATTTTTTTCCAATTAACAGAATTACTGTTAAGCTCAGTAAGAGATGCTACACAGAATAACTCATTGTATCTTTTCGTTTTGAATAGTTAAGACCAGAGTGAACTACAACTGTTAAAAGAGAACAACAACAATTTATCAACATACAGCAGAATAATACTAGTCCAGTTTTGAAAATAGGTAGTGGATTTATCTAACATTTTAACTTATTCTGAAGCAATATTGAAAACCAGCATCACCATAATAATGGAACAGGTGTACACACATGCACATACAGAGTTAATCCTTTTTTAAACAGAACAGAGTCTAATTCTGCATTTAATTTAAAAATACATATTGATGTGTATATTTATATGTGTTTGTCTGTGTATACACACATGCACATAGGGTAGATCTTTATCATCTCTATTGTGTAACAGAAAATGGTGCTATTCATACACGCCCATTGTTTCCAATGACAACCAAGGGTTCTCAGTAGCTTAGAAAATATGCTAAAGTCTCTATGGAATCAAAGTTTGAGAGAAAAGAATAACAACTTACTTTCCTAGGTTTTCAACATGTCCCAGGCAGGTTGAAAAACAGTAGTTGTATGCTATCACAATGGAAGGATACAATGACTGGAAATCTAATACAAGAACAGCATTGCTGTAGAAGCGGGATTCTGGCTCCATTATTAAGGGAACACATTGCAGGGCTTTCATTTGAGCTCGCTGCTGGACACTGGGTGTCACAGCAATATAATTCATTGGCTTTGCAACACGCAGCATCATAGACTCCACACGATACTGCAAAACAGTTTGGATATAATAATTATAATTTAAAAAATAAAGAATAAACATGGGTGTATTAAAACTGTGTAAATACACACTTACATTTCCTGAATTTAAAGTACAGACAACTAGTTTTCCAAAATAAATAGCCATACTCTTACTTTTAATGTATATTTTCTATCACATATAGTGGAACTTTTCCATGTGTTTCCCCATCGTTTAGCCCTAGTCATTGAAAATCAAGTACTTCTAATTTTTATCTATGGAAAAAAACAACATCCAGCTCAGGTTAAAAAAATAAACATCCAACAGGCTGCAACAATATATATGGATGGCCGTGCTACAGCCAGTGAACAAGCATTTGCTAAGCTGTATTTTTATTAGATTTGCAAACATTGAAGAAAAAGTGTAATACGCAGTTGACGAACATTTTCTGTAAGGATCTGCACAGCAATTTTATTTCAACATTTGGGAAAACAGAGAAATGACATGCAAGTTGTGTAAGTTGATAATTGTGCCTCCGAGCTTTTGACCATGAGAAGTAACTAGAATGTACTTGGCAGCAAGAGAACCAAGGGAAGAATCTAAGCCGGCCCATTTCAAAAGTCTGCTGCTTTGCACTGGGCATCATGCTTTCTCCCTGATGATGCCACAAGTTGTACAGGAAGCATAAAATAACAAGAAGTTTAAGAACTTTCAGCTTGTTCAAGACACCACAAAATGTCATCTGTGGAGGTAGCAAGATGAGAAAAAAACAGCACTTACAGCCAGGCATTCACTGTGTCCATTCACAGTTAAAAACAGAATAGGTGAAAATTACATACATGGGTGGCAAAGGACTGAAAATCCAAAAATACCAAAGAACAATCCTATATAATCCTAAGATCCTGTGCTTTGTCAGCAACTAAATCAATATTCAAAAGCCCTCTGCTTGACACACTACATATTCAGTCATTGTACTGAATGGGTTAGGTATAATTTCTTTAACTGTGATGTTATAAATGAACTTACACAACCAACAGCTTTAACAAGACCCTGGCATCTTACGAACAGGTTGAGGTTTGAAAGTGTAGCTATGCTGCTGCAAAAGCTGCTGCTGCCTTGCACTAACTGCACACTAATTTGTGTCCAGTGCTCAGATGTGTGATGAGGTGGTCAGGGACTGGATCTGGCAAGAGCTAGTTTTTTTGGGTTGTTTTTCTTTCTTTTTTTTTTTCTTTCTTCTTTTTCTCCTAGTTTTTAGCAAGTTCTTCAAGCATCTGACTAATAATCTGTATGCCTATGACCATCTCCTGTTAGATTTGTTTAGTCTACTAGGGTATATTCAAGATAGCTTAATAAAATAAAAGAAAAAATAACTTAAAATATCTGAAATCTGTTCTTAGTACTATTCCATTTTAACATCTTTTTCAGCTGAGGAGAAAAGAAATATCTTCATAAAAGGTAGTGGTGATTCTTCTGAGTAAAAAGAATAATTATGTGAGGTGACTGGGAATTGTTGCAACTGCCATTTTTGTGATCTAGAAAGTTTCAATGGAAACAAAATATACGTGCACAGAAGGAAAGAGAAAAGAACAGTCAGGATAGAAAGTGCAGCATGTTTCTGCTGCTCACTCCCACTCACAGCCATTTGAGAAAATGACAGGCAGAACAGTCTTTGTGGGCTGCAATCAAGACAGTTTAAGCATATCTATGCTGGCAGTAAGCCAGTTCCACCCTCCCTGTCCCTAACTGTGCATTTCTCTTCCCTTGCTCCAACAGCGGTACTTCTCTGATAACATGGTAAACCAGATCAGGGAGCTAAGCTGGCAAATACCTATTGAATGCCACCACGGTTCTGCTGACAGTGCTGTCCCTGCTCCCTGCCTCCCCCCTCCCCCCGCTTGCCCCCCCAAATATAGGGCCAATACCAGCAAAACTGACAAGAACCTGCACTGGGTCAAGAGATTACACGGGCAACTGCAGCCAAAGGAAAAAAGGTGGCAACATTTTTAAATTGGGTTGAATCCTTAAGGAACTGCAGCTTCAGACACTCCCATTTCTGGCTTAAGACAATGCTGGTCTGTTTAGGACATTATTTTTTAAGTTGTCTTTTTGTCCACAGGAGTTGGCAAAATAATCAATCCTGGTCAGCTCAGCTACATGTCTATTAAAACAGAAAGCAGAAAGATGGTAGGAAAGAATTATGGTAGGAAAGAAGACGACAACAGAAGAGCAGACGTGAGCGGGAGTAGTTGTCTCTCGTTTCAGGTGCTGTTCAGGCCTCAGGTGAAGCCACGAAAACAGTCTGGTTAGCCTACTCAGAACCTGGGCAAGGAAAGCCTTTGGTACAACTGCAGACTGCTGGGGTCTCAAAGAAAGAGTAGCATAAATCTCACTCTGTCCTGCTCCCTTTCCCTCTGATGCTAGTACCAAAATAACAGAACTACACACAACTTGCATGACACATGTACTTAATAAAGCCAGAACCCTTCTTGTCTTATCATCAAATCTCACCTAAAGGTCTGCTTCACAGGAAATGTGACTTAGAATACATTCAATGCAGCTTTGTCTATCCTGCAAGAAAATAATCTCGTCTTTCTAAAACATGCTCAATTATATTTCTTAATGTTTTAAAAAACATTCATTTTCACTCATCTAAGTGTGAAAAATACCAGCTCAAAGGGAAAACTTAGTGCTCCCAAAGTCTGTAGAAGAGACTCACTGGCACAATTACTGGGCACTCTATTTTTAACAGCCATTTTTAATCTCCGAGACTAACCATTCAATCCATTATTACTGCTTTTGAATTGCCTTTCTTTACGTTTCAATTTCATGTTATGCAAAACAGTCTTTTGTGATGTTACAAAAATACATATACTGACTGAAAAGATACTGAAGAACTAAAACATTTTCTAAAGACTATTTTGCTTTTGTGAAGCGTAAGGAAAACTAGATCTTACCTGGGAGCCTCTTGTTAATACATGTAAGAACTGAATGCCAAAAAGTCGCGCCATTTCACTTGTTCTGTCAATCAAATCCAGTTTGTCTAACAACTGGAGATTCCCACGGACCCGGCTAACATAATGATCAACCATTTTCCACCTGTGAAAGTGAACGCCTCATTATAAACAATCAGGAAAGTGCTGCTCTTTCTACTAAGAAAAATGTATTTTTTATGATAACTTGTTACAAACTAGCAAATAAAATTTCCCCTAGGGTATTTTCATACGGCTCTTTCAAAAATGTGGTGCACATAAACATACACTTACGGATTCGAAAGATATACACAGAATGTGTTACAGCAAACTACTGTTAAGGAATCTCTCAATGACATAATATATCTTGTTGTCCTTACTGCCCTAAAGGATTACTGAAACAGAAACTTGAGTTTCTTCATCTGTTTACATGTTTTTTTATAACCAAGTGGACTTTTGTGGAAACATCCTTCTATATTAAAAGAATACCTATCTCAGTTGAACATATATTTATAATTTCAGCATAAACCCAAATTTCCACATAGTTGAAAAGTACCGAACTTTTATAGAAATTATATGTATGTCACAAATGACGTTCAGCTCAGTACTCATTTTTATGAATTGTTCATATCACACAATACCAGATCACTCCAAGGAAGAATGAAGCCCAGTGTGATACGTTCATATAAAGGTATTTTTACGCAGCTATAATTACTGTCTTAACATCTTGCACACTGTTTTGTACTATTTTTAAGCCTAGCTTGGTTGACATGCACTGTGAAGTAAAACAGAAACCTCACAGTTCATTAAAAGTCCTTCTGATTAATAGTATATACAAAAGAAAGATGTTACAGAACATCAAAATAGTACATCTATTCAGATATGTCGAAACTGTAACTGAAAATATTTTGGTTTTGTGTAAACAGAAAAACACACAAAGATGAAATATTGAGGGTATAACTACAGAACAGAACATAGCAGAACAGCAGAGTAAATAAGCTCATGTTGTTACATATAGACTGTTCTAGTACCTGAGCTAAATTGATTATTTCTTCCTACGCTGACTTTAGCTCATACCTATCCAATATTAAGAATCTGGCCTTAAAAAGAACAAACAAAATGGATTAATAGATCATTACCTGTAGACATCTGCCTTATTATCAAACCAATCAGACAAAACTCGGAAAGTAAATAAAGGAAAACGTTGATGAAGAACATGAAAGCCCACGTTTTCAAAAGTGTAATTCATTAGATTCACCTAGAAAAACACAGAGTATATGTTAACATGCATGATGTCTCTCATAGTCAAAGAAATGTCTACTTTTTGAAAACTGTAACAACTAGACTTACTAACTTTTTATTAGTATTCTTTGCTAAAAAGGTAAACATTTATACTTAGAAGTCCCTTACTATTTACAAGTCAGGAAAGAATATCCCTCATCAATTGAAAAGAATATGCAGAATTAAGTAGATCACAAAGATCAGGTCTGAATTTGGCCAGAACAAGATTTGTAAAGACTGAACCATTTGAGTATTAAATGTAAGCTCATAAACACCAAAACAATGAGTAAGTCTGACACCTTAAAATAAGTTCAAGTATTTAATTTAGTAAAAGCACCATACTAGACAAATTGCTAAAACAGGTAAGTTGTTCTCAAAACCCACAAAGAAGTGAAAAGAAATATCATTAAGAAACATTACTGAAAGATAAGGGCTTCAGTATTTTACATTTTAGTGATATGCAAAATCCATTCTCACAAAGTGGCAGACTGCTCTGTTTGAAAAGGTGTACAAATAAAGAACAAAAAGTTACATAAATTACATGAAATTTTCAACAAAGTCTACAATAATTAAAAAACCCCTGTAAGTCAAATACATTAACCTTTTAAAAACTTTACCTCATGTCTCATCATTCTCCAAATATTTAAGATAATTCGCCCAACAATATTTATTTCACTCATTGTATCCGATCCATATTCATCCAGCTCAGCTGCAAATCTGTTCTCTTTCTTTTCATCTAAAGACATTGAAAGATAATATATTTAGACAAGTTATAGGACATCAAGACCAGATCAAGCTATCCCTCTTCCAATTTGAGCTCTCTAGAAAAGTAAGAATTCATAAAGACTGTTACTGATTGCACAAGATTATTTATTTACCAGTCTTCCACACAATCTCTAAATAAAACTCCCCCAGGTTTTTCTGCTCTTGCACATCCCTCTGAAGAGAACTCTTACTTCGGTTTCATTGAAATGGTGTCCATGGCAATATATTCTCCATAGTGAATATATTGGTTAAGCAATGCTGAATGTTACTAGAGAGCTAGCTGCATGCGCACTAGTGCACAACATAAAAGTGATTTCTGCCCTAAAGAGTTTATAACTCAAGGCTTTACTTGTAGTGATCTTACACAGTTGGAACCAGGTAATGGGAGAGAAAACTCAGCGCCTTTTCATACAGTAAAAGCCAACCCACCGCAGTGGGAGCAGGTAGACATGAGTTCTGGATAGCACGAACGGAGAGAGAAGGAAATAGGAAGGAACAAATGCAGAGGCAGACGCAGCACTCTGAATCTTTCTGCAAGACCGGTGACTACAGTACAGGAAAGATACTCTCTTTTGCCATCCTTGGGTTTTTTCATGCTTTGAAATACTACAATACAAGAGAAGACAGTCTTTTTGGTACACTTTTCTTGAAACTGTCTTTTTTCCAGTCAACCTAAGGCTACAGTTTTGGTATTCTTTCCTGAGTTTACATATGTACAACACAAGTTAAAATTCAATATGAAAACACACTGTATTATTTGATCCTCCAGTCTTGTTCCTTCTTATTAGTTTAATGGAAGAGAAAGCACTTTGAGGCAATTTTCCTACAATTCTAAATCCATACCCATTTTTCAACTGTTGGTTGTGTACTCTGCCACTATTCATTTATCAGATAACCCTGTACAGTACCCTATTAATAAAAACCAGAACGTTTTGGACAGAGTGTATAGAAGTGTGGATACATAATGCTTTGCAATAATGATCAGAACTTGGCAATTAGTTCCCCAGACAGCCATGAAGCACATTTACCCTTGAAGACAGAAGTAAAAATTGCCTGATATTCTGCAGAACTGCTGTGAAACAACATAATACAGACTAACTTCACATGTTGATCTTTCAAATGTGTGTATCAGTCAAAATATGGTTAAGAAAGCCTATTTGTCATTTCCTGACCTTATCAATAAATCACAGAGCCTTGACAAAATTTAGCAGACCTTTCATACACTTTATCAAAATGCATACCATTTTTTAGCCTCCTTATTGTTTCAGATTTTTAAGGAGGAAAAATAGCAGTTTCTCTTTTCACACTTGGGTGGAAAAAAGCCCCACAAGCAGCAACATTTTTTCTTCTGCTCTTTTACATTTCCACATGCTGGATCTCCTGCGAAAGTGAGGGACCTACTTTTTTTTTTTTTTTTTTCCCCCCCCCATTTTTGTTTTTTATTAGAAGGAGAAACTATCCGTTAGCTCTACCTTCTGCAGTGTCATCCTAGTTCTCTCATGACTTGTTTAGGAGATTCCCTATGTTTCTTAAGTTTGCTTCATGTCTTGCTGGTAAAGACAGGCAACAAAGTATAATGCAGTCACAAAAGAGACCCACTGCCCCGATGAACAAGGGACTCTGCATGTGATGAGCATCACAAAACCCCATAGTGCTCCACAACTGGTGTGGGGAATATATCACTAGAACCACGTGAGCGTCTTTGGAAACAAAGTTGTTAAGAAGCAGAACTGGACATTCTTCCTATCTTTCCAGTGCATAAGACGAAATAAAAAGAAGTTTCCTCATCCTCTGTTACCCACTCCCTAACACTGAGCTGTGATGCAAAGGAGGAAACAGGAGGCCACAGTGCACACACAAAAAAATGCCACTACGCACAGGCACAGTACTCACTTCTCTTGTGGTGTGTCCTAATGACTTATGAATAGTTCACTTGTAAATGGCAGAGGCAGCACCAGACTCAGCCAATAAAGCAAAACCAGAGAGAAGTCCAGCTTTCTTTTTGTTAAGTTGAAATCACAGGAAAGGGAAGGAAAAGTACCTTCCATCTTTATTTCAATAGGAGGAAAGAGGAGCATACTGCTTGAAGGAGCACTTCCTGTTCTGAAAATACAGCATGTGAAGAAGGGAGGGAAATATGAAGCATAGGGGTTGGAAAAGCAAGAGGAACATAGATGGGGTCAAAACCATGGACAAGGAGGCCACAAAGCAACAGAGAACACAACACTTGTACGTTTATGGCCATGCATGCAAGCCCACACTTATGGCATGACATTTTTGGGAGGAGCTCATCAGTGTGAACATTTCCTTGTCTTTCTCCTGCAGTTCAGTCAAAAAAAGAATAATTACTTACCTTACAAAAACACTAGTTCTTAGAAACATTTTAAGTGTTATGTATTCCAATTCTGGGTGTGCATCCATCACCTGGCACAAGAACATCTGTATTATGAATATCAGTGCTGTGGAAATCATGCCTATGTCCTGCATGCCCACTCAAACTTTATGTCCAAAGATGTTAAGGACTACAACCCTAGTTTCCTTCACTAGAACTGAAGCCATGTTGTGTGGGACATCATAGTTGTAGGGAAGGAATACTGGAAATACATAGGGACATCACTATTAAGAACCATACAGTTCCCAGAGAAGTAACCTTTCTTCTTTGAGGAACTATTCATGCATATCCCAATTCCAGTAACTTGAACAACAGCTTATGTCATGAAGATGGGTACTATCGAGAGCTTTGCTGATGTAAATGTTGATTCTGCATCAACTACAGTGCAGACATAGCTGTCCTGCAAGACGAGAGCTGTGTCTCAGCCTTTGAGAACAAAAGCAGAGACACATTAGTTACCTGTCCCAAACTGAAGAGATTGTTCAGCCATACTTCCACAGTAGAGGAGTAAACTTTTGTGATCTTTGGAGGTTTAAGAAACCTTTGACTGCAAGACTTGCCATTCCTCTTACCAAAGACATTGCAAATCTTGAGGTGTAAGGGGTCAGGAGTTTTTCTGAACACCCTTCAATACCTCTGAAGACTGTACCCAGAGGCATTATTATTGCAACCAGTGTATCATCTCAAATTGAGCCATCAGGGGAATTTAATAACAAGGTTCACGCAATCAGTAATTATTCCTGAAGAAAAAAATTGAGACCTTTGTGCTGAAGAAGAAAACTTGTGACCTTTGATGGCCAATTCATATTTAAACTGTCATGTGTTCCTGTTTTCATATATTAAGTATTTAAAAATTCACCAAGGTCCAGCTGCCAACAACTTTCAACTGAAGATGCAAATTTGTTCTTATGCTTTCTTGTCCCTGGGAGGTCCCTATAACTCAGACCTTTTCTAAACAGATCACAGGTATCAAAAGCATCAAAAGATTTTGAAGGCATCAAGAGTGCACAAATATTCAAACCTCAAGGAAGGAGTATGTGAACATAGCTCTTCTAAAACATCATGTTCTCCTGGCCAGGCACACAGGATGCCAACAGAAAAGATGGTATTGCTATGCTGGGTAAGCCCAAAGACGCAACGAGCACAGTATCGTGTTCTATCAAGTACCCAAAAGCAGATGCTTCAAGAACAGGGGAAGCAGCTATTGATAATCTCTCTAGAACTCTCCCAGCTTCTAACCGTTCGCAGCTTCCTGGGCCAGACATTATTTTCACATCTATAATAGTTCCCAATGGATTTTTTTTCCCAAGAATTTATCTCCTCTGAAAGTAACATACGCTTTAAGCATTTGTACTACCTTGTGGCAAGGAACTCAACAGTTCAACAACCCAGGGGTGAAAAATGAACTCCTATTCTGTAGTTGTCATTTGCTAGCTTCATTTGATAATTTCTGGTTCTTGCACTGGAAAAGACCATGAACAGCCAATCCATATTTCCCTTTATATCCCTCAATATTTCATAGGCTTTTACCTTCCTTACCCAGTTTTGTCTCTTCTGGAATCCTAACTTACTAAATTATTAGACACATTTGGATTACCCTTCTCATCTTTACCAGTTCTCCTGTATCCATTTTGAGGGGGGAAAGCTTATGAAGAGGCTAGAATCACAGTATTTGAGGTGCAAGCACACTACAGATTTTGACATTTACATTCATTGTTCTATATTTTCCTTGCTCCATAATTCCTAATATTTCATTTACTTTTTCAACCATTACAGGGTAACAGGATCAAGTTTTTAATAGGACAATCACAGGAAAGCACTTCTTATTTCATGGCTATTTAGTTTCTGTACAGATCTTTGGCAAGAGCCCTGACAAAAGCAGCTTTTTCAATTGTTTTGATTTTTAAAATCCTATCTCCCTCATCCACATCTTCTTGATGACTGCAAAGAGCTACAACAGATTTTTGAGACAGTTTTTAATTTTACAAAGTCATCTTGACTCTTCTCAGGTGCAACACATTTATTTAGCTGTTCACTAACTGCATTCTTCAGAATGACAGCTTCTATTGATTGCCTAAGTTTAGACACTAAGCTTACCACTCTCCTGGAAAACTTTCCCCAGGTTTTCAAGCAAAAAAACGAAACAGGTCTTTTTCTGAACGTTGGAGGAAAGCATCAGCACTTGGACCAGTAAAACTTGCCCACCATACAAGAATGGCTATTGAAAGTAAGGATTTTATTACAGAGGTGCTGACCAAGATGAGTGCTGCTCAGGAGCATCTTTATGTCCTTGTATCCCAGTCAGATAAACCACAAATGATGATTATGGTAGGTACCCTGAACGACATACATATGACTGAAGCCAAGGAGAAACCAGAGAAAGTTTGGTAGCAGAAGCACCTCCAAGAACTGAAAACTTAACACACACGACAACTGAAAATGAGTCTAGGTTCATGGATACAGGACACACCCAGAAGTGGAATACACAAGGAATTTAAAAATTCAGAAAACACTGAAAACCAGAATCTCATTGGTATTTCAAATTTTTTTTTGTGTGTGTGTGATTATACCTATAACAACACAACAGCAACAACAAAAAAAGAGGTCCATCTGAAGAAATACTCTGCATTTATTTTTTTAATTTATTCATAGACTTCAACTTGTTTCTATTGGAACTGAACTGAAACCCTATACAATAACTTACCTGGCACACGAGAAATCATCTGGCATAAATCAACATTTAGTGCAGCAGCCCTCTGTAAGAGATAACCCCAGGAATGCATCTGGACTTCATAGCCTAACAAAATGTCTGGGTCATATCTAGAGAGGGGGGGGGAAAAGGAGAATGAGCTTCATATTATTTAAGAAAATATTTTCCATGAACAGAGTATGAACAGGATTACATGCTAATCATGTTGATTTTAAAAAAGAGGCAGCCACAATGGGTTTGTTTCTATGAAAGCCGCATCTGGACTAGGAAACAATATTTAAAATAGACAATATTTTAGGATTTTCAATAACATTCAACTGAAAAATTTTTTTAGAAGGCTTTTTTTTTTTAAACATACTTCTATTATTTCAGTCTTTACAAATAAAGAACAAAACCTAGGTCTAATCAGGTTTTATCAATGGAACCAGTCTGTATCGAGCATAAGCTGAAACCTAGCTACCCACACAAGACAGATGTGCAATGAAATATAGTCCTGTCCTCAAACTTTGTTGTACTATTTTCCTTTATGAAACTGAATAGAATTTGCTACTAGGCTACTTGAATGTTTTGCAAATAATGATGCTTCATGTGCACTGGAGTGTACTTGTAATAATGAGAAGACACTTCTGGTCCTAAATGGTGACTCTTTATCGGAAAAGTTACAATTTGCAGTTGAGAGCTGTCAAAACTGAAACATGCAGAAAAGCAACTGTATCTACCAGCTCTATTTACATACCTCTTCCTTTAAGATAACCTTCTTTCTATAAGATACACAAGAAAAACTCATTTTATGCTGTATCTCATGCCAGGTAGAAAATTTGACTGGCTCAGGTATGACAAAAAGAAAAGTCAGAACTGTCTTCTGACACAGTCACTGTCCATCTTCCAATCAGGCTCAGAAAAGAGTTGACTAGACAGAAGGACAAACAAGGTGGCTTCAAAGTCAAAGCACAGGTAGGAATTAGCTTGGAGGAGTCTGTATCACCTACCTTTTGAGTAAGCACTATTAAAACCAGAAGTTATGATCTGATGACTTGTTGAAGGGCCAAAGAATTATTTTCTTTGGCTGGGCAGAAGGAGACTGGCCAAAGTAACATCAGAAATGTTACTTTTATAGCAAAAAAAAAAAAAAAAGAAGCTTCATGGGGAAGAGCAGCTGCTTCTTTCAACGCAGTTCAGTCAGGGGGTTTTGAGTTCCAGCAGGCAGCATTCAATACAACTGAATGACAAAGGGGCAGCTATCAGGAGGTAGAGGACCGGACGATAAGCTGAGGGTCCTGTACCACAGTCTGTGCCCAACCCCACAACAAGATGGAGGCTTGTAGACCTTAGTTTATGGGAGCGGTAGGCAGAGATCTTGGCTTATGAACAGGAACTCTGTACTTTTTGCACCCTTAAACACATCAGAAAATGCCAACATTTCCTGACTGTTGGATATAGGAGAATACCCTTTCCCTGAATCCTAAGTTAAAGCTGCATCACAGATATTACAAATGAAGCTTCAGACTTTATTGTGAAAGTGTCTTCCTTGCTTGTACGTCCCAGCCAAAGGCAGATGACAACTCACTTTGAAATAACTAACTACTCTGAGAATAGCTCCAGAAAAGAGCTTCTCCACACTTCTGCCACAGACACTAACTTTTTGTGAAAAATAAAAGGAAAAGTGTTTGAATATTCTTACTCAGCACAGCTATCTCTTTATTACACTTTGGGCTTTTGCACCAGCCAGCAAAAGTTGCAAAAATCCCTTTTACCACCTACTTCTACCTGTGAAGGAATGGTTTTGATACCATTTTTGGCTAAAGCAGAAGATTCTGAAGTTAAGTTTTTGACTTCTAGCAATCTAGAGAAAGTAAAAGATCTAGCATTTTGCATTTAGGGGGTATTTTGCTATCTGCTGTTAATGTCAAACAAATGATTCTTTGTTTTTGGAGACAGAAAATGATCATCAGGAGTGGAAGTAGTAAATTTACCTATTTTGGAAGCCTATTCTACCAGTGGTACAAATCCAAAGCTACTTGGAACAATTTATGGACAAATGAATGAAGCTAGCCTGCAGTTCCTTCCAGCAGTGGAATCAGTGTCAAAAAGAGTTATGACCACTTGCTGGCCCGCACAACATACAATGATTGCCAATTGAGGTGCCAAAATTATGAATAGCTCCATCTAAGCTTTGAAATAGAAAGGAATTATGTAATGGTTTATACAGTCATAGAATAAATGTTAAAAAAATTAACATATTTTCACATTAATTCTTGCAGCAACACTATCCTGGTCCTAGCATATTGCAAAACACTACTGGTTATTTAAAATGAAGGAAGTAGTCATTTATGTTCGTATTTGAAAACTGGTTTCACATAATTCAAAATGGAAAATACTCGTAGATTTTATGCAGGGCAAGACATTATGCAGATGGGTTCCATGATAGATGCAAACGTGAATGAGAAACTTGTGAAGAACTGTTTATGTTGTACATAAAACAGTATTCATTATGCCAGGAATTTGCTTGCTCTTCTAAGCCTGTTCTGAACAGAAACAAGCATACTGTTTAGAAGCAGCAAGTTGCCATAGCTATATTAGCAGCTACCACCTGTGATGAAGGACAGTTGCTTTGGGTTCTTCCTTGCTTAAGTAGTGCATTACTTCTCTCACTTCCTACTTAACCAAATTTTAGTGGGCTATTACATTACAACTGCAAATACTCCTATTTGTATTGCAACTGAATACAACATTTCGTCAATTCTTGAGTTAATCTTCCTATTCTCTTTTAAGCTAATTAATAAAATGACCTCTGTAAACCATCTGCATATAAATGCAAGAATTGTTTCTCTAGTATCCTTCAGATGGGAAGATATTTTATAGGACAAGACATAAAACCACTTTAGTTTATCATGTTTTCAGATATATGCATTTTCTTACATAAATACATCGTCTCTAACTTAAGTATTACATATTTTTCCAACCTACATGTGAATTTACATAAAATTTTGTTAAATTTACCACCCAAAAGATTAAAAAAAATAAAAATAAATCAATGTGCTAGTTTTGAACTCAGTCTTGCTTGTACAGGCTATTAGGGATTGCCTGTAATGGCACATTACTGAGTCACAGGGTATTACTTTACAGTGCATTACTTACTCTGCTTTTCCTTCCCAACTAGCCACTGCACATTCATTAAGGGGAGGGCCTCATTTCAACTAATTTTGGCATCTCAAGTTTTCTAAGCTGGTTTCTTTATTGTCATTGAAGACAAAAGGCCTCCTTGGGTGAACTATTCCTTATATTTCAGCCACCTCTTGCAGAATGAGATCCTATTCTTTGTTTAATGTACATGGTGACGAGGCTAGCTACTTAGACACTGACAATGAAGTATAGAAGTCTAAGTTTCAGTCAGATGATTCATACAAAGCTATCTACATGGAAAATCAAGGTAGAGTAGCTAGTAAATGATGAATTCAAACCCTACTGTAAATTCCCTGTAAACACAGTCTCTTAGTCTCAGTTTCCCATATTTAAAACTTGGATCCAAGTGGTATCCTTCTGAAAGCATAAAAACCAATAAACACGCTACCAGCAATTGAATTCCTCAGATACTGCAGTAAGTTACACATACATCTATTTTGTATGTATATCTGTATGCATTCACAATGTATATGCACAAAGGACTATAATTAGTATTAACAAATTTATGGATGCTTAGGTATTTCCTTAACTTCATAATCAAAACAAGTTTTGCTTAAGTGTATCCCTGAATTATCTTTGAAGGAAAAAACAAAGTAAGATTAAATTCAAGTATAACTCCTTTCTACTGAACAGCACTTGGGACCCCAAACTCCTGCACTGCAGTACGCATAAGGTATACCTTATGCAACAGGTTTAACAGACCTATCAGATTTCTTGCACCCAACATAAGGCTCCGCTGTTTCTTGCTGTTTATTTCCTTGCTGATCAACTCCTTCTCAATTTATGCAGCAGAAGTGCCCCCTCCTGCAGCCCAATCCCATGTACCAGCTGTACCAATGGATCAGTGTGTCATTTGTTGAGGCCCCCTGTGGTATTCTTTTTGCTGTTAAAAAAGAGACGCCTGGAGCTAAAAGAAGACGTTATCCCAAATGGGAAAACGAACAGGTAAACCCAAGGTTTAGCTGATGTAAGCTAGACAGAAGTCTGTCTCTGTCTCACGTTCTCTCTCCCCTTTTCATGTGGTACGACAAAGACGACAGGCTGTGAGCTAAGGAGAGGACAAGTTTTATATTTTTCATCCTCCCTTCTCACAATTTTTACAGTATACTATCCAGCTGGTCTTCATCATCAGTTTAAGCTGTTTTATTAAAAGAAATTGTAATGAGACCAGCTTTTACACCTGCAAGAAACTAGTAAGTTGTAATACTGATATTTGAAAGCTGCTGGCTAGGACTAACACAACAGGAATAAGAGGTGTGCCTGCCAACATAGTGCTCTTTTGTTAAAAGGATGGGCACTGATACTGCTTTGCATGCTGTTGCCAGTCTCTCTGCAAAGATGAAAAGCAGCATTTATACTGGCAGGATTTAAAGACGACAGCATTAGCATTCAACTCATACATGCTGCAGAGAGAAGAAATGCGATTATTTTCCTTTCTAGCTAAGTCATATGGGCTGTTATGTCATCTTTTCCTCTTTCTAATTTGATAATTTCGTGAATGAACACTGAAGCCCCCAGTTATGCCTTCCCTTCTATTATGTGTCTGGTTTTCCTCACTGCTAATTTTCTTCCAGCTAAAATTAAGAGAAAAAGGGGGAAAAAAATTTAGGCCAGACCCACGATACAGACAAAAGCAGTAATTGTGCATGGCAGCAGAACACTCGGTGACTCAAATACATAACTGAAATATCTGAAAACATTTTGCCAGTTTGCTTTGGACAATAGAAATCCATAAAGTTGATACAGGACATTAAGTAGAGATTTCTACAGGAAAATGCCACAGAAGATGATACTAGCCTGGGAAAAGAATGTTAGATTAACACATCTCGATTTTAAAAAGAAAATGTTGCTAGAGCATTTGCAGAAGAACAAATATAATGCATTGTATCCAATACAAAAAACTGATTAGCATCATACTTCACAAGAAAAACATTATACAAAATATTTAAATGTTAAGTATTAACAACTACTTAATTTACAAATGTTTTATCCCCAAAATCTTTAAGAAAAATCTTGCAACTTTATATACTCTGTTTTTGTACTTTTATCAGAAACTACTTCCATTGGGACAAAGAGCTGTGTGTGGCTGCTGAGTCTCAAGTAGCAGTGAATCTACTACTTTTTTTCAAGCCTGTCCTGTTTCCACATCCTCTGTGTGTCACAGAGATGGGGACTGTGCATTCACACATGAATTCCCCAAATTTTCTTCCTCTCATGCCTGCAGGACCAGCCCTTTTCTGCTATCTGGTATCTGCATTTACAGAAGAGTGGCACAATTTGCCTTAAAAGTGTAGGAGAGGCCCAGACGTTTAATTTCTCTTTCATGGGAATCCACTGCTCCATCAGGCTTGGACATCTCTAGTTTTCTCGTGTTTTTTAAATCTCCAAGACAAATATTCTTGTAGCGTTCCCTTCCTCCTCCTCCTTAAACAGCCAGCTTTCCTGTGTTTTGTACTGACTGGTTTATGGAACTATGTGAATGTGTTTATTCTTTTTGCTGCCTTTAGGTTCAGACAGAGAGGTAGTTCTGTTTTACTTTTTCAAGCTGACAGTATCTTCCAATTTTTCTCCCAACTCATTGCAGCTGACACCTTATGATAAAGAGAAGGTCTATTCAAGAAGGCTGTTCAGGCACCGTGACAGAATCCTTTAGGACAGCAATATAGGTACAGGCTTCGTTTCAAGGAAAAAAAAAAATAAAAAAATTATTTCCCCTATGACAACTCTAAAGAGCCTACAACTTGGCTCTCTGTGCTTGCAGATCATCCACACTGGCTGCACAGGATGGGAAGGAGGTTGTTTCTCAGCTGCTTTATGCCAGTTTTGAGCTGAAGTCCTATTTTTTTGTTTAGAGCCAGAGGACAGCTTACCAAAGAAGGGAAAACTGGACCTACGTAGGTGAAGCTTCCTCTCAAACTCTAGGACGGTTGTCAGGGTACCAAGAACCACTTTAATTATGCTTTTCTTTGTTGCAAATCCATGTTGTTTATTCTTCCCTGCCTTCTCCAATTTCACCTCTATGGCTCTTCCTTTCAAACTGTTTCCTGCCTCTCAACTCTCAAGCAAGTCAGTATTTCAATACCTTGTAGAATTAAAGAGAATTCTCAAATTCCCTTTACAACGATGTGCTTTCTTTTAGCTGTTTCTACAAAGATTTCGGTACTCACACTCATAAGTACTCCCATTTCACAGCTGAATCACACTCAGTAATAATTTCCCAGAAATAAAGGTGCCTATTCCCCTCAATATTTGGACAAATCTGCTAGTTTTCAGCATAGACAAAATCATAGATCACAATTCCAGAGAAACAACCAGGTCTTCTTCTGGTCTACAGACCTCAAGTTGACTTATTTTCATTTGCCAACTACCCTGAGTTAATCAGAGACAACATCTACTAATTTCACAGAAGAACATTTAACCTGGTATTAACGGATGTCTAGGTGGAAACACATGTTAATCTTACTGTGGTCATTCAGATCTAGCACACGCTGAACAACTTCACAGTGAAGGTAAAACTGAATCCAACTTCAGCTCATCAATTCCAGTGAGCTTTCTGAAGCAATACTCATCTTCAGTGAACATGTAACAGAGGAACTTTAGCTCTGCTATAAAAAGTTAGATTTGGGAAACACTATTCAGTGACAAAAGGCTAGTGGTGCAGCCCAAGAATAAAACACCAGCAAGCATTAAAACCTCACTAATTTATTACTCTGCTTCAGCATCTGTGTCCCTCAATATCAGCCAGCACGTTATAAACACTATTTGCGTAGATATTCTGGGTCATTTGTTCAAATACAAAATGCTTGCGGATCTCTGATAGAAGAGACTGATGAACTAAGAGTATTGCAGGAAGTGATACATCTCCCAGAAATCACCTTTCCCTCATCTGTGTGCTAGGACAGTGGTCAAGAATTCTCTACTGTGCTCTTCTGGAGTTTATATCTATTGACAAGAAGTGACAGAATCAACCATTTCTTATTTTCAATAACCAGAATGGAATAGAAACAAAAGGCCTAAACAGAAGGCTTGAACTTGAAACAAATGAGTATGTTCCACAATTTCACACATATGAAATAAGAGCAAGAATTAGGCCAACTACTAAGAGAATGACTAGAAATGGGAACAAGAATTCTTCAATTGGACTGCACAAGACAATTCCTCCCTCAGCTGAGGTACCCTCTGTTCAGTGCACCAGCAAGTTGATAAAGTTTGTTCCTAGTATTGACAATTCAATCTACCAGTTGAATAGATATTCTGTCGTTCATTGTACCAGGAATCTGGAATTTCACTCTTCCACCCTTCCCTCCAACAGCCAAAGAGGCCAAGAACATGAACCAAAAGCAAGCTGCAGTCACACGCTGGGAATGCTATTTGGTCACAAGAACCTACTATCCTCTAGCTTGATGCATACATCAGTATATAAGATACTGATATGGCTCTCTGCTGATAAATTAAGGTGATTTTGAGTTTTGCTCCATGAACCCCAAGTGGTAATGCTTCTTAAACATGTCCTGATTGTTTTCTTTCTCTAACCAATCAGACTTACTATTAAGTGCACCTACCAGAACAATTAGAGTACCTAGCCTGTGCTGGAAAAAATAACACTAAAAACAGCAACAGAAGATTGTTTAAAAAAATAATTCCTGATGCTGAAAGTTTTCATTAAAGCTGCTTGCTTGTTCATTTCCTATTGAGGAAGATTTTTGCAGTCCACTACTTTTTAATCAAGTAGTTTTACCATACTTTTTCCTTCAGTTAAAGCTACTCTGGGCCTAGACACTTGTATTGTGCTTAAGAAATACAGAACATTTACTCCAGCAAAATTTCTTATTCTCTTTTGCCTAGGCTACAGAAAATAAAGGGAGAAAAGAGCAGCCATCCAGATGCAGTCCAAGTTTTAAAAACACATTTGTTGAGAGTTCAGCAGAAGTCTGATTCCTTAGGCGATATTGCATAGAGCGGGGAGGGAAGTAGACTAAGACGATGACAGCAGTCTGCCTCTCCACTGATAGATCAAATCTTTTATCTTCTAGGAACACAAGTTAACTAACTCAATCTTTGAAGATAAAGTTGTTGCATCAAAAAGGCATGCTAGCACAGTGTTGAAAGAGAAGATCTCTTAAGAAGAGATTTCTCAGTCAGCAACCTGGTGATTGGTACATTCCATCTTGAAGTACTACAAAAATTGCATGCTTTTTTTCATTCCGTAATGCCTTCAACATGTACGGATGTAGACTTCTTCTGTTCTTCAGTGATAAATATGTATTCTAACTGCTGAGTTCTCTCTCCCATACTCTTTATGTACTGTCACTTTTTAAACTTCCACACAGCTGGTGGAGATTTCTTCATCTATTGGCAGCTTCTCATTCTCAGTAATCTTCCTAAGTTTGATGGAGCACTAGATTTCCAAGAAAGAGAAAAATAAAATTATGTTCCTTACCTGAATTTTGTCTTCTCTGAACAGGGATCTGCTGCTCTGTCAGGACCCACCCTGTGTTGGTTGCATTCAGCAACTCTTTTTGTATTCTGGCTTCATGGGGTTGGTCAATGTCTTTCTCATCAGAGGTTTTCTGGTTGGAGAGAGAAAGAATTGCAAATGTACTCTGCCTAGTACACATTTTTCTCTTGTGCCTCTATTCCAGCAGGGTGACTCATAGTTTAAATCTGTTTATTTTTCCTTGCAATTTTACAGCTTTGCACCTCTGACAGTAGGACCTGGAGAGACGTCTGTGGTTCCACCCACTCACCAGCCGAGAAGGCTACCAAACAGACTTCCCAGCCTTGGTGGAGATGGGGAAAACCAGCAGTTTTCCAAGTCTGATGGAGCAGGGGATTTCCATTCAGAGAAGACAAAACTAATGAAGGAAACTGATTTTTCAACTACTGGTTATTTTAATCTGTCCATAGCAGTTTCAGTACCATGTAGGTTTTTTTTCTGTCTTGCCTCAAAGTCCCTAGAAGAATTCTTCCCATCTGAGGCGTTTTCTATAGCTCTCAGCACTGTTAATATCTATTCTGAGAGTTTCAGAGATGTGTAATGAATTTTGGGATTAACAGGAAAGGTTGTACATTAAAGAAGATTACTTATATGGCTGATTATTTTCAAGACTGTAACTCAGCTGCTTAAGAGGATCTGAATGTTCTTGCTGTCAGAGAAAAAGAAAAGCAAAAAGTATTTTTATTCGAAAGACCACCATGCTTGTCCACTCTAGAAATAAGCCTTTGAGGGAAACAACAACAAAAATCAGTATTTGAGAGACTGGCAAGGGTTGAAGGAACTAAAACTGCTGTACCAAGCCTGAAAAATAAAAGCAGAACGTACAGATATGCTACCTTTTTACAATATTCACTACTTCCTGGAAAAGAGTTCTTTCATCAGTAGCGTAACTGACTTCTAGTCCTGTAACTCCAGATCTTGTAAGCAAGGGGGCTTGGTCTCTGCTCCCTAGAAAATAAAGTAAAAAAATCATTACAATTTAGAAGGAATTCCATGACTTCAGTCAACAATATTGCTTTAGAATAAAACATACAACTGAAAAGAAGTATGGAACACAACCTTTTATCTTTAACACTAATTATTATCATAATTAATTCCATGGACTTATTTTATTCCTCTTGGTTGGAAAAGTCTGTTCTTTTCACTTTGTAAAATTCTACCATAGTAGTAATCTAGCACAAATTGTCAGATATAAATAAATTTGATTCAAGAGAAATTTCACCATTTTACATGTACAAGAGTCTAGCTATTAGAAAATTATTTTTGAATAAGAAATATTAAAGGACCATATGACAGCTCACACAGTGTTTTCATGCAAAATATCAATTTTAATTGCTAGCTTAGAGTAGTGCAAAATGCTTTGAAGAATGAAAATGTTACATAACATAGTATAGCTCTTTTTTCAGTATGCTTCTTAAAAAACACTGCTTAGTTACTAATAGAAATGGAAAAACATGAGCAACTGCTCACTTAGTGCGCATTAAGAGTGTCTACATTGATAATGTGTGAATAATAGCTAAATTCATATGCATGCAGGAACTCATCATTTGCCTTCCATATTAAAAAAACCTCTTTAAATGAATAATATGCAACACACACTCTGTCTTTTTATTTTCTCTATACAACAGATAGTAGCATCTCTGATTAAGGCAACAATCTGGAGTTTTTAAAAGGCATTCTACTTTGACACATTCTTGAGAATTAAAAAAAGTGCGCTTTCAGAAATAAATGTTAAAATGATTACCATAACTTACAAAGCAATAATAATACAAAAAGGGAAAAAAAAGGTGTGTCTCAATGTCAAGTCACTCCACAGGGAACTCAAAAAGTTCTAACCAAGAAAATATTGACAGCACACACCAATTAAAGCAAGGAATGTCACAATAACATTTAAACACATCATTTTATTTCACTAACAAAAATAGATCAGAACTTTTGTTTTTTCAAAATATTATTGGACTTCTTTACAGAGAGCTTTTTCTTGGTAATTTATCAGTGGCATATACCTAGGGAGCCATAGTGGCTATACTGTGGAAAGTCTCAGTTAGTAAGGTAATGGAGATAATTTTTTTAAAGATAGTAACAAGCATATAATACCAGAATAAACTTCACTGACAATAATAAGAACTTAGCTTAACATGATATAATATCTACAATACTTTGAAAAATAAACTGGTAAAAGAAGGAGCTGTTGCCTTAAAGCTAAATTTATTTTTGGTAGGTTTTTGTCCACACTTAAATTTTAGACAGTATTTTGTGGTTTAATACACATTCACAATGCCAAAGAAACCCTGAAAGAAAGAGGACTTTTTTTTGTTCATTTTGTTTTGTTTTTGTATTTTTACTAGCCTAAACCAGTGGTACTCAACCTTTAACAGCTGGAGAGCCACTTCTTTATTAAATGGAGTTGTAGAGCACCATAAAAATCAAGTATCCACAGTGTGATTTTTTTTCTCCATCATGACACTTCAATGTGTGATGATGCTGCCTCAACATCATCACATATTGATACATCACGACATGACACATCAGAATCCTCTCTCCCAGCAGCGTTCTGTCTTCAACCCCTTTTGGCTGCTAGGAAGGAGTGGGGTGGAGGGGTGGAAGGGGCAAAAGGGCGAGTTTTTCCCCATTCTGCCCCACGGCTGCTGGGTGGGAGGTGATCTCTACTCTTACCTGTGGGGGGATCCCAGCAGCTCCTTTTCTTTCCCCCTATGGGAGGGGGAACTTCAGCGACTCCCACACTGCTGGTCCATTTGCTCAGTGCTCCCCGCGCTGCCTGATAGAGTGGAGCGCCGATCAGACGCCTACATTGCGAGAGCCGCCTGTAGGGCCATGAAGAGCCACATCCGGCTCTAGAGCCACAGGTTGAGTATCACTGGTCTAAACAAAGCCAAAAAGGTACAATAGAATAAGGGCCCCTGTTTAGATCCTAAAAGGATCAGATAAAACCACAAAAATAACCCTTAAGTAAAATATAAAACATACTGTCTTGCTTTTAACATTTTCTATTTGTAGCTATCCAGCAACTTGAGTAGGAAACTAAAGGCAGGTTTTCCTCTTTATACTTTTAGAACACTGCAGGAGCTTGTCCACAAGTATGCAAACACAGATATTTTGCATGTGTCTATGTTATTTGTGGTTTACAGCCCATGCAATAGTTCTTTGGAAGATATAAGCAGGAAAACTCTCTCCATGTTTAATATGGCCATTCATCCAACAGTCAACAAGACAAAATTAAATGAGCTAAATAGTAATATAGATACTCGATTATATTTTGCTTGCTACTGTTTGATCACTACAAAATAAGCGTTTTTGTAAAATATGTTAAGAAAAAAGAAATAGGAACCTTGGCTTGAGAGTCTCCTGTCTCTATCAATCACTATAGCACCAGTGATTTCTTTTTTATCAGTATTTGGCAGAGTTGTGTCTGATGAGATGCAATAGAATAAAGCACAGATCGGATCAAACTCTGGGTCTGGTTCCAAATCTCGTCTGGTTCGAGCATGTAACTCCATACTGATGAGGGTAAGGTGTTGGACCTACCAACAAATAAATACAATAAATTAGTACGTTTTGGAGCTCTATTAAAAAATTTAAGAGAAAATTATGAGTGCAAATTAGTGCATTGCAGATATTTCTATGGTCATATTATGTTGTAACTAAGAGGTCACACCTGAAAATTAATAGAAGTGATTAAACATGCATCTCTGGATCTCATTTTTTTGCAAAAAGCATTATCCTAAAAAAAAAAAAAAAAAGATTAATCACTTAATACATTTTTAATACTCCATTATTAAAATTCAATATTTGCTTCCGAGTACTATCTTCTACCAAAAGCAGAAAATACAAACAAACAGAAATGTTCAACTTCAACAATTGTAAATTCCTGTAATGTTTTCAAACAGCTTTGCATATTGAGCTGAATTAAGTTTCCAGACTGATCGAGAACAAAGAATCTCTGTTGGTCTTTATTTTCCTTTCCCTCCTTCACCCAAGACGTGCAAACAAGCATGAAAACTAAGTCACTTACAGGAAGATATGGAGAGTACCTGACTTTCCCTTCACTTGCGTTAATGAAGTTCCGCATCATGTTGCTACAGCTTTTTGCAGAATGGTTTGCATTAAGAAAATGCTAATCCCTATATATTGTACAGTTTTGACTATAATAAATACTGTAGTATTTAATACTGTTTCAACACTATGTTGTTGCTATCATCTTGCATAATACAGTTGATAATGTGGACTAATGGGCAAGTTGGAGGGATTACAAGGGAAAAGTTACAGATATCTATGATTATGGAAGTTGCCCTGAGGGCAGCCTGATTTCCTCTAGATTTGCATCCTGAATCACTACAGCCATTACTGAAATGAAATTTTACTATCAAGCTCTATCTCCATTTCCTGCAAAATCATCAGTTTCTTGTGGCTTCTCCTACGTCATCTACTCAGCACATAAGACGACTATCTCCCCATCTCATCTGTAAATTGGTCAACAGCTAATTCCAAGCCATGGATGTGGTGACTGTCTGGGAGCACATACATGCTGGCTGGCCAGTTAGCAACCAAACACAGCAGTACTGCATTCACATTGCATCCCTTTCTCCAGCACCAATTTTGATCTCTCTTCCCAGAGCAACCACTGATCTACATGTAATATGTAGAGACACCTTTGAGATGTGTACCATTTTGTTAAATGTGGTAGGAACTGGCTACACAGGTTGAGAAGGTAACATGCAGAGATACTGGGAGGGCCTGACTGAATGATGCCAGATGCCTTGTTTCTTAAGGAAACGATCCATGAAAGTCATGGTCAACTAGTTTTTCCAGTAATGTTTTTATACAAAACTTTTCTTCCTTCTGATCTTTGCCTCATTTTTATTTTTTTAGAGAAAGATTTACCACCTTCTCAAGAAAAATACTGTGAAATTTAGTTCAATACTATTAAATAAAGGCACTCGGAGAACAAGCTGAAACTAGTAGAGCAACTACTTAAAGCTGCAGACATCACACACTGATTAATTTTAAGTCAGGCAGGGACCAAGGAGGAAAAGATTTTTAAATTCTGCCATTATAAAACTGGTCTGATAAACTATCATTTTATAAAATAACATGTAAGTTACCTCATGTAAAGATTTTGCTTCCTGCAGGTTTTCCACACTGACTTTAAACCCGTAAGTATTATTTAAAGATGGTCCTTCAATCTGAGAAGTCTCTTTCTTTGGAACGCCAAGGGCAGCAAACTGATTCTTGTTGGGGGGGGAGGGGAGAAAAAAAAAAGCACAGTATAATATTGAAAAAATTACAGGTTGCTAAATTCATATGCAATATTAAATACAAATTTATCAATGAAAATGCAAATACTACACTATAATTACTAAAATTAAAAGGCTTTCACTATCTTCTCATGTCATTTTTCAACAGGGAAACAACTGTTGTATCTTTCTGCTTTTTAGGAATGATTTTAATGAAACCTCATAGTAAAGCAGGAGGCAGTTTGAAACACTTGAAAAAAAAAAACAAAACCAAAAAACCCAACCAACCAACAAACACAAAACCCCACACATACTGGCTTTCTTAAAAGCCTGCGGACAGGAGAACCAGCAAATCTCTATTCTCTCTTGAGCAACAACTCATAAAACCCCTCTGTTTCGGTCACCACTTTTTAAGGCACTGAATTAAGGGTACACTTAAGTACCCACCTGAACTGGGTGAATACCAGTATGTTGAGAACACAAGAAAAGACTATTGGGTCATTCTGGTAATGCACCTAGCCCACTGTTCTTTTTCCAACATGGGGAGCAGAAACACTGTTTAGGGAAAACATGTGAGTCTGATCACTGTATGCAATCCCTTCCCGTTCTACTCCGTCAACATACCAGTGCTATTCACTGCCTATGTTGTTTTCAGAAAATGCTTACAACATTGTCTGAAAATTAATACACACACAGACACATAAATATACACATCTCTGTGTGTGTACATACACACACACACACAAATATAAAAGGGAAATCATAATACAACTTAAAAAGAACGTTGTAACTAAAAGAGCAAAACAACATCCTTACACAGTGTCTCTTCAGTGTTTCACTAGCGTCTCACAACCCTAAACCACAGAACATACTCTCAGTAGCCAACTTCCCCCCACCTCCACCCCCTGCCTGCAAATTAAACTGATTTCTTCATCCTAACTTTGAGTGTACACTGATTCGACAGCAATTGCACCCCACCATTTTAAATGTACTTTCAAGATCTTAACAGCAAAAGAAAAAACACAACACAGAAGAACGAGAATGGAAATGTGTATGTGTGGCATAATAAAAATACACCTGTACATAAAAATCTTAATTTACCTTCATTTGTGTGGTTAGAAGTACTCTTCGAAGACCATCAGTATTATTTCCCCTCTTGTGGCTCAGTTTTTGGGCTTTTGGTTCTGTAAACATACATGAGTGCAAAACTGCTTAGCCTCAATAATATTGTCTAGACATTAAATAACATGCTAGAAACAACCAGAGGCATTTAGTTAACATTATAAACAAATATAAACAAAAGTAACTTTATTCTCTATCCAATCCAAAGCAACTATTACAATTTGGTATTTATGGACATACAGGAACATATAGTGCAAGGCCAGTAAGTTACCAAACCTCACATGATTATCAACTTGAACATTGCAATGTTATTCACACTCTACGTTGAGATCATGTTCTGAAAAATACAAGCAATATAACCAACAAGATTTCAAAATCCCCAAAATAAGCTATACTTTTAAGTCTTTAACCAGCACTTCAGAGTTCAGATACTAGAGACCATCAGGAAGCAAAAGGGTGTTCTGCTTCTAGACTTTTTTCATAATTCAATAGTTATTTTAACAATAATGCACAGGTCTTTTCCTTTCTAAAACTAGTTTTAAATATATTTTTATGGACATGTAAGTATTTTCTAATTACGTCAAAAGAAATATAATATATTCAGAAATTTTTTTTGTGCATCATTAGAATCACTTAATGGATTTACCTGTGGATAAAGGAGTAAAACCAAGAACTTCAGGTATGCCATCTTGATTTTTTCTCTGCACAATGGGTGTACTATGTAGGCAAACGGATTCGGAATTTCCAGGATCTTCATTAACTGGAAATGGAGATGTGTCAAAGGATGTCCTAACGTCCTCTTGGGTGGATGGAGAGCTTTGTGCACTTCCAACAGGTACTACATCATTTCCTTCCACAGAAGACAAAATAATATCCTGACTTTTCCAATCTGTGTCTTCTAAATTAGACTGCTTGGGATCTGGAGATGCTACTTGCTGCCAAGGAGGAAGTACTGGAGAATCTGGTGAACTGTAGCTGACGTAATAGTCTTCCTCCTCCTCCTCCTTATCATGTTCTAGTGTTGAAGTAGTAAGTGTCTTGCTTTCAGATAGAGTTTTATTAGAGTCTATATCATTTTTAGTATTTATAGAAGTTCCTATAGTGCTTATAGACTTATCACAGGTTTCCTTGGTTTGTGTTTTTGTAGTTTCTGCCACAGAAACAGGAGAATTCTTTGTAGGCACAATAGGTCTTTCATCTTCCAGGCTAGATAAATTTAAATCTTTAGCTGCTTTTGCTACTTCTATAGATTTCTCTTCAGACAATACTGCAGAGCTGAAATTCTCAGCTGCCTTTGCCAGCTCAGCAGGATGATTCTTAGGCAATTTCTTGAAATGTTCATACTCTTCTTTGGCATGAAGCCATATCTGAACTTGCTGTTGGCTTGGAGCACACTTGCATGGCATTATGACTATTTTTTTGTCTTCACTAGTTTTATGGCTATTACTTTCTCTTTTACTAACAGTAGAGTGACCGTAACGAGGAGGAGACCCTGGTCTAGGACTTTCTGTCATTGCTGAAAATGCAGTCTTCCAGAGTCGTAGACCTTCTAATGAGAAGTCCCCCTCAAACTCAAGCAGGTCATTTGGAAGTCTAGTTTCCACCGTGAGAAGCCGTCCTCCAATCTCCCTGTGAAGAAAATAGTTTGAATTATTGTTTTGCTCTAAACTGCATTGCAGGCAGTCCTCAAGATGATATACAAGCAGAGTCCTGCTAACTAGCTTTCTCACTATGCAATACCTGTGGGCAGTATCTTTCCTTCACAAACCAAGCAGGCACATTCGCACTTACTACAATATCAAGCAATAAAAAAAATAAGCGTCATGAACGAAAACGGGTATTTGCACAGGAAGTACAGCAATTTCCAACTTCAGATGTATGTATATCAGATGGGATCTTTCATGCATCTGTGCCACATAACAGCATAAAATTGTTTACAGGAATAAATTTAATATAATCACAGGCATACGTAGACAGAAATGCATTTAACATACTACCTTGGCTTTTCTGGAGCATCTGAAGGATTGCTGCAAAATGGTTCCTGATAAATTGTTTCTGCAAGATCATGATCCAGCAGAGTTGCCATGATTTCTTCACGACTGGGTGGTGACATGAGAGGCTTAAGAATGTGAGCAGTACGAGGTGTAAAACTTCCATTCTTTGATTGTGAGGGGGAACTGGTTGATCTTGGTGAACTATCTGGAGTTGGAGTTAATGCCTCATTGTTTCTCGAAACATATAGTTCTAAATCCTCAGAAGCTGCATCTATAAGTTCACCATCAGGAGAAGACAGTATGGATGTAAAAGAGGTATTAACTGAATCAAGTGGTTGACAGGGTTCAAAAGTGGTTTCTTTTCTAATGTGGCTTTGAATCCAGTCTGAGCTGGTTGGCTGAGGAAGGTTAAGAAATCTCTCTTTATTTACTGTATTTCTATTCAATTTGAATTTTTCATTTAAACAGACCTCAGTCTCTTGCGTACAAGAGGTATCAATAGAACTAGATCTAGAAGTTGAAGGATGAACATTTTTCCTCCATTGGCTATGGCAGTGGTTCTCATTATTATCCAGTGAGGTTTTCTCAAAAAGCTCGGGGCTCAGGGAACCAGACCGTATCCATTTACTTGTGCTTGAAGAATGCTGCTTTTCTTCCTCTGATTTTTGGTCATTATGACACAGAAAGTCATTTTCTGTTGTCTGTCCAGAACCAAGATCTTGAACTGCATCACTCAAGAATTTCTGGGGCAAATTTTGATCTGCTGGGACAAACTGGCTCGCAGAATAAAAACTGCAAAATCCAGTTTGCCCTATAGTATTAATATCAAAGTTGTAATTGTGGTCTGGAGACAAGCTGTCTTCAAGCGAGTAGCAGCTTTCAAAACCAGGGTCTGAAAAAAAAATGGGGCTGTCATCTGATACAGAGTGATCAATGCGACTAGTGATCTGCTGGCTTAAAGACTCCATTTTTGAAAGTTTTGGTGTTTTTTCTTTAGGTTTTGTATTCCTGGGAGCACGAGATTTTCTTGGTGATGTGATTGATCGTGACCTTTTGATTGCTTTATTCTGTTCAAGAGGGCATGGTATACTCCTGCTCAGCTGTGGTTTAGCTGGTAATGGTTCCTGTGTAACATTTGCATTCTGAGCTTTCTGCTGCCTCTTCTGGAGCAGCTCTTTCAAAACAGCTAGGCCAGACTGTCCTTCACTGAACGCTGATGGGGCCACTATAGTCCTGTTTTTATACTGGGAGATGGGTTTTGGTTGCACAGTTGTTTCTGACAGAGACCTTTGTTTTACTGTTTCAGGTTTAAAATGTGACATATCCAAAATAAATCCTCTCTGATTTTGATCCCAATTTAACTGTTTCACTGGACTCTTCAAAGATGTTACAAAACAGTTCTTAGGCAACTGAAGTGGCCCAGGGCTTTCCTCAGATGACTTAAGAATAGAAGAACAAGGATCAGAATGCTTGGATGCCTCTGGTAAACAAAAAATCTGCTGTTGAATATTGTCTTTACAATGCAAATAGTTAGTGGCATGTAACTGATCCATCTTTGCTGTGTCCAAAGATTCACGAGCTTCATTTAATTTCCCTGCTGGCGGTAAGTATCTGTTTTGCAAATTTTTTATCTCTTCTACTTTTGCAGAAGTCTTATCTTTAGAGATGCGTGCATTTTGTGTTACCTGAGTTGAGTGATTAGATGGATCAAATATGTTTTGAATGAGAGCAGAATCCTTTATTCTAAATATAGCACTTTGAGTCCTGGGCCTTTGAGAGCTCACTTTTGGTACTTCCCTTCCAGATGCCACAGGAATAGATACAAAAGATGAATGAGGGTCTTCTCGTGGAGCAGGTAAACACTGTGCATCTACAGGCTTATCAACTTCTATCAATGAATGAAAACAGCCTGATGAATTACCTTGTGCATCAGCTGCTGAAGGGAGCTGTGCTGATGGTAGATATCCTGCTGAATAGCCAGGAAGAGGACTGTCTTTCCGGTTATGAAGTGCCTGTGAGTTGACAGAGTTGTACGAAATCTCAGGCAGATCTTGACGTTTCAGCACAAACTTCACTTCTGCAGTAGAGCGCGTATTTCCTTTTTCATCTTTAAATACAACACGCTTTCTTGAGGACACTTTTTCAGCTGTTTTTTGTCTTTGTTTTGTTCTAGGTTTCTTCTTTCCATCATCTCCTGTTTTATCAGCCTGATTAATCTTTTTCTTTTTCTTGGTAGATACAGTGGGGCTAGCAAATTTCTTTTTACATTTCTTAACCTGAGTTTTTGCTCGACTATTTTTTCCTACACTAGAATTAACAGTCTTGCTGTTGTACATATTGGGCCCCCTACTAAATAAAGCTTCTCTGTCCAGGTTGGTCAAAATTTCTTCTGCTTTTGGATCAGTGGGAGACCAGCAGCGAGGTGGAGAGGTGTTTACTGGGCTTGTGCTTCTCTCAGAAAGAAAACCTAACTTAGACATAACATCACTATAGTTATAGTCACAGTCTTCAGCTTCAGCATTGTAGGATGGCGAAGGAGGAGAAAGAATTGTATGAGTCCTTTTTCTGAAAGATAAAGTTCTTTTAATGTTTTTACTACCTGCTTTTTGTGGTTTTCCAGCTTTTTTCTTGGTTGACTTATGTTTTGCTTTCCTTTTGTGACTTTTCTTTGGTGTTAGTGGATAAATAGGATATTTGGTTGCAGGAGAGTCAGGAACTTTTGGCCAAAAGTCCTTTAAAGGTGCAAGCTTTTTATATAAGTTCATCTTTTCCTCTGTGAGTACTACTCTTTCCTCACTAGAATCTACTTTCCCTAGTTTAACAAGCATATTTTTTCTCCCTCTAAATCTATTGATGATAATATATTTAATAATAACAGGTGGCAATTTTTTAGAAAGTTTTCTACGCTTTCGCGACTTCTGAGACCCATCCAAACTTTCAACACTTTCCATCGGTTGAGGTAGATTAATTTTTGAGTTGTGTGCGACAAAGCTTGATTCACTGTCTTCAGTCTCATAATTTACCTTCCGTTTCGTTCGGAGTGTATATTTATTCCCACATAATCCAAATGACTGCTCAGTTTCAAGAGATCCATCTGCAAACTGGCAGTCAGTATAATTAGCAGTACTTGTAGGCATTTTGTTTTCAAAAGCCTCAAAAGGAACTTGAACTAAGTCACTAGGTAAAGCACTATCCTTATCAGGAATGTTACTACAAGCATTACCTTGTGTATAGCAGCTTTCCTTCACTAATGCAACATCATGTACACTTGCAGGCTCCTGATGATTGATAAAACTATGTTTCTTTTTATTCAGCTTCAACCTGGACTGTTTGTTGCCTTGCTGTAATTTATATGTCACAGGAGCTAACTTCTGTGGTCGACTGAGACAATTAGAAAGAACAACACTAGGAAAGAACATATAATGTGCTGCTTGTTGACTGAGGCTTGGCTTTTCTGCCTTATGCTCCTGAAATTCTTCATACCTAATTTTAAGCTTATTAAGGCCACCTTCATCAGTGTCATTTTCAAGTGAATGTACCACAGTTCGACTGCCTCCTGAACAAGACACCAATTCACAATTTTCTGTAACTGTTGCTGGAAAAAAACTATTTATACTTGCAGTGCTGGATTTTTCATTTACTTCAGAGGACATTTTACCTTTGGAGTGGCTAGAGTGGCTCAAATCGGAAAAGTTAAATAAGTTTTTATTCAACATGCTGTCACCAATGTGGCGGCCCACATGCATAAAAGAGACATCCTTTTCAGCCTTTCTGATGCTAGTATACTTCCTACTAGGGATCTGTCTGCTCACTGATGAAATATCATCTTCATACTCAAAAATATTATTTTCACATGAAGAAACTGGGAGAGTATCTTTCTTGTTACTCTCTTTGTGAGAGTTTTCTGCATGGGTACTGTTGCTGAATGGAGTTGGGTACTTTGCTGAGTAAGTGCTTTCTTTTGTAAGAGAATGGACTGAAAGTTCAGGTCTTGTTTCTGTGTTTGGTTGTGAGAGGTCTTCTACTAAATCTTCATTATTCAAAACATGGTTAGAAAGGGCACTTGTGTGTTTACACTGAAAAGTAATTTTAGCAGAAGATGGGGGTTCTAGCGTAGCAGCATCTTTGTGAAAGATTGAGGTCTTTACAGACATTTTGCTTGTTGCAATGACGGAGGAGTGAGTTCGAGAACTTTCATTATTCAAAGGATTGTCTGAAATGGAAGACAAGCAATTTTACTCTAGTTTTCCTGTAAAAAAAAAAAACCAACCTAAGACATTAATCATTTTAATGACATTTTCCTGAAAGCCCTCTCATCCAAAGAAGAAACAAAACTCTTCTAACTCTTCTAAATCACACTGCATTTATGATCATGGCAACTACAGACCCTGAGCACAAGTTGCTTTATCCAAATCACGTCATCAGTACATTTGTGCCTCAGCTGTTCTGTCAGTTACTCCTAAATGGTAGGCTTGCATACAATTGCCAAAGATTCCATGCTGGTTTTCTGAAAGAAGGCTTCTAAAATCACCTTCAGATAACTAAATACAAACATTGACTTCTAGAAAAGCTTGTATCCTGCTTTGTCCCTGAGAAGTATGCATACTCATTGGCTCTGAAAAACAAAGAACTTATTTAGATGACTTTCCCCATATAGAAAAATCATTGCACAGAAAGCTAAAGTACTATCTTACAACATGGTAAGGGCTTTGTATTAACTGTCCTGTGCACTAAGCATAGGTAGTTTGCTGCACTTTTATATAGCAGAGCAATCCACCACCCATTCAGGTGTTTATGCAAGGGGCTTGCACCATTTAGTTAGATCATGAATTCATACCCATGCATTAACATTCTCACACAGATCTGCGACCAGCATGTGCTGTGGTAACTGTCCTGTGGCAGACTCATCACATGATACCTGGGACAATTTCTCTCTCTTTTGCTGATACTTTCACCACACTTACTGCAGGATAAGCATGGACAGGCAGGTGATAAGTAACAAATGAAGGACTGGTTTGCAGCAACTCTGCTCATAACCACAATGAACACAGAGTAATTTAAGTTTATTCCTCCGCAAAGAGGCAGTTACCACAGAGCTCCTGGCACACAGCAATTTGTTCATGTGTTCACATCTTTAGGTGAAATGTTGAAGGGAGGTAGGTGTTATGAAACATGCTGTATGACCTGGAAGCACACATTGCACACTGTTGTACTAGATGGGGGATCCTTGGGGCCTTTACTGTAAGTCTCAACCAATTTGGGGATTATCTTAGATTCATGCTGCCTTCAGCTTCGCAACTTATTTGTTGCCGGGTGAGAAAAATAAAAGGAATTCTCAGTCTGTTTCTAGTAACATTTTCTAATGCATACAGAGAGTCCCTGAACTGTGAAACACAGCTGGGAGATGCTACCTATGATTCTTTGAGGGTAGGAGTCCACACAAAGAATGAAGAAGATTAACTGAAAGCCAAGAAAATGGGAGTTTAGTGAAGTGTAAAAGAACACTTGGAAGATACCCTACTATTCAGATACAAAAATTGCAAAAATATTTGTCAGTCAGTCAGATGTTATGGACACAGATTCATGGGTGGACAAGCATTTTCTAATTTAGAGGAACTGGACTGAGATTTGTTTTGAATTTACTGTATCTCCTATTATAAGAAGTTGATGTAAAAGTTCACAGTAATAAACTCATTCTAAACTGACATTCTTCTTCTGCATGTGATACTTCATATACTTAAAATATTCTAAAACTTAAACAATGATTTAAGATACAGTCTCATTAGCCAGAAGCATCCCTTTTTCATTAAATTACAAAGTACTGCAAATAAGGAAATTACAATTGTCTATTTTGCAAACCCAAATCATATTAGTAGTACATCAAGTCACGTATTAACCCTACCATTATACCTATAAAAGCAAAGGGAAAAGCAAACTATGCTTTAAACAGTGAACACAAAAGAATAGCTGTGGTTGTCTATGTAACAAGATCACATAGCTCACTTTCTCTAATAAAGAATTGCTAATAGATATATCTGAGACGTATGTATTTTATATACTGATGTATGATGTTTGTTATTTTTGTCAATTAGCTTCAAGAGACACAAACTAATACAGAAATTTTGCAAAGGATTACATTCCTGCCCTGAAGAGCAAATGCAGTAATAGTGAGGTACATGCATGAGCACAAATAAGATTTTACATTAACCAGTTTGTACTATGGATTAAGAAAGAAGCTTATGTACAAAGTGACGTTAACCACAAATTTCAAATTTTAAAGGCAATGAAGTATGACTAATACAACATTTCTGAACAAAGAATAACTACTGTTGATTAGACCAAGAAGAAAAGTGACCCTAATAGTGAGAAAACCCAGGATACGTATTTTTCTCCACTTTACATTGTTTTGCTCAACAGAATTTTATAAGTGTGAAAATATGTAATTATTTAATGAATCAAATAATAATATTTATATGTTTGCCTAACCTCGAAGTATGCATTTTATTAACTAAGGTTATTTGATCAAAGACAGCAGGTTATAAAGAGATGGCAAGAGATAGCTCTACAGATTAATTTAATTTTTTATAGATTTTGAAAGGCAGTTTCTTCTGCATCAGCTTTGCCACTGCATAGTTTTAACTCATGCAATCCCAAGATGTGAACATGCGATCTGCTGAACCAAACATAGGCTCAAAGGCTCACTATATTTTAGCATGCATGGCAAATACTTGCAAAGCAAAGAACCATCTAAATTTACACAACAATACATTTACTATTTAAAATGAAATCCTACCAAGATAAATGATCCTACAGAATCATTAATTTTAACACCATATTTGCATAATCTAACAACAGAAAAATACCTCTTGCAACAAGGTAACTATCTTTTCCATAAAACTAACTAAACAATGCCCTTTTTTGGATCTTTAATACAATAGGAAAAGCAGATTGTGGTAATTCATAGAGGGCACTGAGATTAAAATATTGTTGGCTTACAAGGACAATGTTAAAAGCCTGTTTTTTGCAATCAGTTGAGAGCATTTCCTTCCAATTGAAACAAGAATTGAAAATGGTTAGCGCTTTTGAGAAGTAGCAAATTGATCTGAAAACGAACTATGACCCAGGTGATAATTCAACTTCCAAAGCTGTTTTTCTATTTACTTACCACCATTTTCATCTGCAGTCCCATCTAACTGAGGTATAGAGAGATTAGTTAGGAGCATATTGTTACCACTCCACTCCATTTCCTCCTCTGAAGATGAATCCTCTTCTGTTGAACTTCGATGCATACTTTTGCCAGCTGACCTAGAGAAAATGAAGGAACTAATTAATGCACAATAATTCTCTTAGAAAATAGAAATAGCCACAGGGAACCTCAAAATCAAAGGGGTGTGGTGCTATATGGTTGTATAATTTGGGGGAGTAAAGGGAAACAAACAAAATTATTACATTTCTCATTGAGAAACTGAAAATATTATTCAATGTTACTATTTTAAAAGGCAACAGTGGTAGCCAACCATTTAAAAACTACAGACAAAACCAGCATGATTCACTAGCTTAAGAAGTTGGAGAGAAGGCATTTAGATGCTTAATTTTATTTCAATTTTACTGAAATTTAATTTAATTGCTTCAAAGTGCTTGAAATTTGAAGACTAAACCAACTATGCGAAATTATTTCAGTTTAGCTCTTGTAAACATCTGTTTGGTGTTTTTTTTTTTTAAGGAATCTTTACTGTATTATAACAATTCTCTCTCAGCAGGCTTAACTAAAGCACAACCACCAAAACAACGTTTGTTTCCATCCCTCCTTGAACCTTCTGAAATTGCTGTTAGTAAAAGTGGCTTAAGTATTAGCAAGTTAATTGTTCTACGCTGCCAGTTTTACAGTCACAAATCTGCTGGGGAAAAAAAAAAAAAGTAATAAATCTACAAAGAAAAGCTGCTATGAATTTTTCATCTTTTTACGGTGGCATGGCTTTATAGGGGGGGAAAAAAAAGAAAAAATATATAGAAAAACCCAACCCCCAAACCTTCCAGTATATTAGAACTCTAGAAGCACTTAGGAATTTGATTTCTTCTTTAAAATAAAGTGCAAGATGGACGTAATTGTTAATAGAAATAAGCTATTCTGTGGCTGCAAGAGAGAAATCCAGATAAATATTAAGGAACTGAGGTTTGGTGGGGGTTTTTGTTTGGTTTGGTTTGTTTGCTTTTGTTTTTAAGATAATAATAATCTATCCTAGTAGCTTGATATATCAAAACATTATTGTGTAGTACCTTAAAAGGTATAAATACAAAGGTTTTGAAGTTACAGGAAGGAATTCCACAATAACCTAAACACAGTTGACTTCTGAAGAACTCTTATCTGTGAAGTTCGACCACAGCATGAATTACATGTATCATAACACCACAGACATCTGAATGTGCTCAGCACTGAGCCAACTTAGATCTAGCCATGTTTATTAGTTCAGGAACAACGGGCTCAAATATGGCTATATAATTCCAGACTAACTCAAGTCTGGAAGCAGCATGACTTGGAAGAGAGACCTAACAAGCACAGCTAGGTACACAGTGGCCATGACCTAAGTGAGCTTAGTTCTATCTCTTCTATGTTTCCCAAACATGGAAAAGTACAGTTCAAAGACATTCAGCTCTATATGCAAATGAATACCAAAACTGGGGAGGGCAATCAATACTCTGGAGAGTAGGGCTGCTTTTCTGAGAGATCTCAATAGGCTGGGGAATGAGCTGACAGGAACCTGATTGACTTCAAATAAGACAAATCCAATGTCCCACAAATGGGATGAAATAACCCCATGCACTGCTACAGACAGGGAGAGAGCTGACTAGGAAGTGGCTTTGCAGAAAAGGATACAAAAGCCCTGGTGAACAACTAGTTGAATCTGAGAGTGTGCAGTGTGCCTTTGTAGTAAAGAAGGCGAGTTGCATCTTGGGCTGTGACTGCCAGACTGTAGCCAATTTCAGTAGTTTTGAGGCTGCATCTAGAATATTGTGCTCAGTTTTGGGCATGCCACTACAAGACAGACACTGACAAACTGGAACAAATCCAGCTGAGGAGCACCATGGTGACTACGGGCTGGAGCACATGATGTATCAGGACAGGCTAAGGGAACAGGATTTATTAATCCTTGAGAAAAAAACTAAGAGAAGATCTTGTTGCACTTGTCAAGTATCCAACGAGTGGGTAGAGAGAAGATGAAACCAGATTCAGAAGGGTGCGGTGATATGAAAAGGGCAATGGGCACGGGACCGCCTCAGGGAATGTTACGTACAAGGAAAACATTCTTCATTATGAGGGTGTTCAAACACTGGAACATGTTGCCCATATAGGCTATGCAATCTCTGGAGATACTCAAACCTTGACCAGACAAGGCCCTGAGCAACTGATCTAACCAAAGCTGCTTTGACCAGGGCACTGGACTACATAGCATTTAGATGTTTCTCCCAACCTGAATTATGCTATAATCCTGTGCATGAAGCAGATCTTTGTCAACTTTAGAAAACCCAGTCAGGCTGGAGACAATTTCTGCAGATAATAACTTGTATCTCTCTGCATTCAAGCCCATCAGTTTAGATTCCAGGAAAATTTGTATTGATGGGCTTTTTTCTCCAGTTAAGCACAAATCAAGCCCAATCCATTTAATTCACTCAGTAGGATGCTGTTACTCCTCATTATCTCGACGTATTTTTTGAGACAATGGAAGATTGGTGAACACCAAATATAAGAGGAAGTGATAATATGAATGGGGTAGGATGCATTAGGAAGCAGTACAGATAGAATGAACTTCAGCAGAATAAGGTTGGATCCATCGTCAGACTCAAATTGGCTCTTTATGCATGAGCAGAATCATGCAGGGGGCAGAGACAACCATGTCCACGCTCTCTTCTGAAGTCAGTCCAAATTCTGCAGAGATCACACTGAAACAAAGCTTGTAATTCCCTCTGAATATGACCTGACTCCCTGTGGAGGCACCGGGTATGTACATTCTTCCTAGTGCTTTCTGTCTGGGATTAAGATGTAGGCATATATGAGCAAGTTATTCATGAGCCAGCTCATCAAGTCTGATGCGTTTTTAAATAGGATTCTTCACTGCATAAAAGCAGTTAATTGCTTCAGGATCCTACTTGACTCCGGACGTTGTACAATCATGCCCATACAGACCTGTGCCTGAGCTAATAAATTCTGCAAGATACAGGCTGGTTTTACACACAAACTACCACTAAACTGAAGATTAACGTTAAGTGTTTTAGATGGAAATCCCCATTTTTCAGACTACTGTGAGGGGAAAAAAACCCAAAGAAAATCAAAGGTCAGATAGGAAAAGTAGGTTTAGAGATAAATTATCTCTAGAACTAGGAAACTAATGATCTGATACTGTTACAACTTTTCTGTATGGCTTCAGGAAAGAAAAGATGAAATATTTCCATGCCTCTCTTGCTCTCCGAATCATAGTATAATTATGATTTCTGATGTAAAAACCCAAATATCAAAATATTATGTCTGTGAAGTCTCTCATCTTTCAAATAGAATTATAAATACCAGCAGGTCTGCCCAAAGCTGGGGTGAAGAGAAACTGGATATAGCCTCTTTCAACACCTGTCAGTGCAGACTGTACAAAAGGTCATTACAACCTGAGAAGGTGTTCCAAGAATCTTGGCCTTAAAAATATTCAAGCTGCTGACCTTTAGCAGTCCAGCAGAGTGAGCAACATTCATGTTTTGATTTAAGCTTTGAGCATGGAAACAAATGGGTGTTTTTCTCAGGCTTCTGGGTCAGTCTTTACAAGAATACTTCTTAAATATTCACTTCAGTAAAAGTTACAGGCACATGAGATGCACAAGATACTCTTTAACATTTGTACTACATCCAAGGTGCAACCTCTAAAATGAGATAAGAAATAAAGTTTTTTGTATTTGGACTTGCAGGACAAAAAACTTAATTTTTCCTCAAATAGCAAACTAGAAGCGTAGGTCGAGCCAAACCTAAACATTTAATCTTTATTTCAGTGTAAAACTGATAATTCACAGAATCATCTGAACAACTGCATTCTATCTGAAGATCTGCATAGATTTTTCCAATGTTGTCAACAGAGACCTCTCTACAGCTCACTGGGCTCATAGCACACTTGAAAACAGGGTGGGAGGGAGGAACGATCTGGCAGAAAAGAACATATTAAGAAAAGAGAATCACATACATACCTTCTTTTTGGCCCAGGCTCTTCAGTGCTACTGTCCCACCTTTGGGACATTAACAAGCTAAGTTCCATTTCTTCTTTCTCACACTGTGGCTCATTTTCTTCATCATCACTGTTCTGAGAATTTCGACAGCTTCCGAGAGAACGGTGGTGAGAGAGTGTTTTGTGATGTCCCATCTGATATCCATCATTTTCCAATCCAGCCAACAGATCAATCATGGCCTCATCAGCACTACTGTCCACTGCAGAAAAAGCCCATACAAGTAGAATCTGTATTTTGTTTTACTTGTAAATGACTAGTTATAATCTATCAGTAAAAAACAAAACCAAAGAAACAAAACCAAAAAAACCCCTCAACATTTTAAAATCTACTAGTTCATTACTGTCTAAAGCAAGGCAGGCTACAGAAACAAAGCTCTTTTCATATCTTATTTTATGATTTGTTATCTTTTCTAGGTCTTTATCTAGAATCTTGACAACCTTCTTTTTTTATTTCTGCCCTCCTCTTCTGATTGTAGCAGATTTAGTGGAAGCACTTCTCTCTCTCCACCCTCCTATTACCTCCTCACATTCAGTAAAGCCTCACTCTCCCCTTTTATTTCAGCATGAGTGCCAGCTTCTGAAGCATCACTGCCTTCTCTTGCTCTCACCATTTCAATGGCTGCATTAACTTTGTTGGGCACTTCTCTCTGTATCACTTGGAAGACTTTCAATCACTGCATCTCATGAAAAGTGATGCTGATTTTGACCAACTACTTCTTTCTGTCCTTTACTATAATGCTTAACTTCATCTCCCTCTTCTTTTCACTATAACATGTTCTCTTCCTGGGCTCCTCTAAACACTGAAAATTTACCTGCTTTCACTCCTCCCTTAAAATTTATTTTTTATTTTCCTTTATTTGACCCAAGCTTAAACTAACTCATGCACTTGCCTTCTCATTCTTTAGTTTTATTTCTTAAACATCCTTCCAAGTCACAATTTTTTCTCACTCTCCTCCTGCTTACCTTTCATCTGACCTCATAACCAATTTATGATCTCCAGTCTACCAGGCATCTTTGTTACTTCTCTCTCCTTCTCCTCTGGCTGAAGAACTACAATCTCTACTTTCCTTCCTCAGGAAATATCATATGATTTACAATGATCCTGAGAATCATATAAAATAGGTCTCAACATTGGTGAGGAACGCATTTTCTATACTTTACAAAGGCTTCACAAGACACCATGCAACCATTCAGAATGGAAACCATCCCCTTTGCCAGACTTCTGAATTAACCCACTTTCAGTTGTACTTTCTGTTCTTGGGTCCTTTGCCCTTTGTGACGTCCACCATTAAACTCCATCCTTTACTTCCCATTAATATAAACCTTGTTGTGTACTTCACAGCAGCAGCAGAAGTAGTGCGCTTCACAGCCCCTGTGATGCCATGACCGTACAAAGGCACAATAAAGACTAGTCCATGCTATGAAAGAGCATAAGAGACCCAAAGATGCAACATGTTACTCATGGCCACAGAAGACACCAGCAATTAGTAGCCCCATGATAAGAAAAGAAGAGGGGACAGGGGAGACAGGGAGGAGAAGGGGGACAGGGGGGGAAAGAAAAAGTCAAAGTCCCCATTTGATTCCCTAGCGACTGGAAAAAACAGACCATTTCAATACTCCTATTTGGTTAAGCAATTCAAATGCATAGTCATAAGACGAACCCTATATATTATTTTAGCCACTTCTCATCCTCTCAGTACAACCTTCTCACTCCAAAAAAAAAAAAGATAAATCAATGCTCATGTTTGCCAGCTCCCACATAACTTCTTTACTTATAGTTGTCTCGATAAATCTAAATCCTTGCCTATAAAACTTCCATAACCAAAATCTTGCCTACTTTCTGAAAAATAAAACAGCACCAAAAAATACTTTTAATCTCACTCCATCCACTCCTCCCTTCTTTGCAAGAAAAGACTGTATATTGTATTATGCATAGACATATATTGTTGCCCATATTGTTTCTTGTTGCCCATGCACATATTCACACCATATGTATCAAAAGCACTGGAGGCTGTGGGTTTTAGATATTCCCCCCCGACCTCCCCACCTTGTAGTATCAACTTTAGTGCATATTAACATTATACCTTACGTTTACATAAGAATGTATATATACGAGATAGCATGAACTATATGCTGTTCATCTCCTCTAGAGTATTTGAACTATTTCTACCTGAAGTAGCTTTTCATACAAGCTCCTTTTTTGTGTTATTGTTGTTTCCCCCTCATGCCATTCACATTTGTTTGCTGTCATGGTTTTTCTCTCCCTCTTTAATGTTTTACTTCTTGTTTCTTTGCCTTCAACCATTCTTTTGTATCCATAAATTTTGGGAAATGCTCTGCTGCAATTTGCCTCTCATTATCAGCCTACTATCCCCCAGTATCTCCAGACAGCTGAGCTTCTAAAGATAGCCAATGAGCATGTTCCCTACCATAACTATATGAAAGATGCAGTAACTGCAAGAATATCATGGATATATATCAAAATCCTCTTTATTCTGATAGTTTTAGTCCTATAACCCTAGCAGCATAAGGAAGAGCAATACCCATAAGGGATTGCATTGAGCTGACGGGGCAAGAGGACAGGCTCAGCGAACCAGTAAAGCATAGTAGCCTCTACAAATACACTGTCCTGGTGACATTTTAAGAAAATACAAGGTGGTTTTTTTGGTGGTGGTGGTGGTAGAGTGTGTGTGTGTGTGAAGTCTCAATCTGCTTGACAAACTCCCTAAGGTAAACTACTTACTTTCTTTCATGACTGGTAATGTAAGTGAACACAACAAAGACTGTGGAACAATAAAATAACCTGGAAGAAAAGACATTCCAGTTATACTCACTAAAAACTGTAGTCTGACTCAGTCTTTGAGACAAAGGCTGAAAGCTCTGACTATTCTCCACAATGTTTAAAATTGCTTCTTCATTAATAAGTGCCTCCTCTTCTTTAACAGTATGCATCCTACTGGATTCTTTAAAAGAAAAACAAAAAGAGAAAGGATAAAACTTCAAAGAGTCACAGACATCAATACATTATGAAAGCAAGCCACTTTAAAATGGATTTTATTATTCAAGTATGTTTCCGTTATTTGCTATCGCAATTTTAGAAAGGCTTACTCTAACAATGATGAAAATAAAAGCAAAACTACTCTTCATTTTTTCATAACTGACAATCAGATCTTCCTAGGCTTACTTCTGCTAATAGTATAAAGAGCCAAAGCATGACATAGATTTATACCTAAACAATTATGCTATTAAAAATACTCACCTTTGTTCATCTTTTTATCTTTATGCACTTCTACCATATTAGCTGGCGTACACTGAAAGGCTTCAGGAGAAAGTACCTCAGAATGTAGTGTTAGCTGAGCAGAGAACTCCTCTGATCCATTACTGTAGTCCACTGATCCTGACAACGTTCTAGTTAATTGAAAACCAATTTTTAAATGCATATTTAAGGTTTGCATGGAATACTATACTTTACGGCAAATAGCTAAACACTTACACAGAGAAGTCATTTTGCTTGAGGATTTCTTTAAGTCTCTTCTGAAAAAATTTTTCACTCTCTGTTGCTGGCACAAATCCACGGTCTTTAAAATTTGAAAAAATATTTGTTATTCAGTTTTACTTTGACCTCTCAACACAGAGAGCAGCTAAAATTACTAATTCTATTAGGAAACGGCTCAAAGTTGAAGTGTCCACTAATTTTAAATGCCAAATTTGCGGGCTGATTTTTCAAGTATATTTAAACACTTTAAAATACTACACATACTCCCATTGATCTCATTTGCAACTGTGAGTATCGAGAGCATTTACAAATTGTGTTTCAATTACACCAAGGTGAGCATGCAGGAAAAGAACAATCAGTGAACAATTTTGAAAAGTCTGGTTTATGCAGCCTGAATAATATTACACAGAAACACAGGAAAAAACCACAGTCAGAAAGCAGTCTGCCTTAGCCAGGAACCTGCCTCTTTTCTTCTTGCAATCCTCTGGCTTACTTGCCAAATATCATTCATATTTTAAACAAAACATGGCCTAGGTTCTGCAGAGAATAGCTCTGTTCATTATGCAATTAATTTGCAGAGCATGGTCTTCCCTGTGCAATGAATTTTACACAGAAATACAGGGATTTGTCCACCCTTTTAGAATGTTTGTCTAATATCACCTTAGCTCTAATTCCACAGAAATTCAAAGGAACTGCCCTTGTGCATGAACTACCATGGAAAGCTTCAGGATAAGAGATTTAATTTTGCCAGTATTTAAACATTTAAATGTTTTCCATCATAAAGCATGCAATCTTAACTGTCATTATCACTCATTCTGCCTAGAATGCTTTGCAGCTAGCTGAATCATGATGTTTTCAGGCAGGGTTATATATCTTGCTTTTAAAATTAGAATACACATACTGGGCAATCAGTAAGCTTGGAACTGAAAAAACAGTACATCTAAAAAGCCCTCAAACTTGATACACTGATTTAAATTCTATCTCCTGCTTGCTTCTCATTCAAAGTTTTCAGTAAACAGCTACACAATTTTTTTTTTTTACCTTGTGACTCAGGTGGCTTAATCTGAGAAGATTCACATTTCTGTCTCCGTCGCTGCTTTTCGTCTTCCCATATAGCTTGCAAACCAGGGTTCCTGCCAATCTGGGCTGAAATACACAATAATACATGAAGGGAAGTCGGTCAATGTGATGAAGCATTCTTCCCCTCAAATTAGATTCTGACACTCTTCTTCATCTCTTTTGTCATTCTAACCCGTTATTTTTTTAATTGCAATTCTGGCCTTACTCTAGGATTCAGTGTTATGTAGAAGTTAAGGTGTAACTTCATTTATTTTCTAGATCTCCTATTTGTTATCTATATCTTTGGCTTTTGCTGGTCTTCCCACCAAGTATGTGTGTGTATGTATGTACATACACATGCATACTTCATGTTGATATTTCACTTATTCTCCTTATAGGTCTGATATTTTTGTTAATGCGTAACAGAAGGTATCTTTCTATTGTTCTGATAATAGGCTATTCTTATAACCTGTTTTCTTTCAGAGTTCACTCAATTTTATTTTTTTTTTTTTTTAACTTTATAAATTTGTAGATCGACAATTCACTAACACCGAAATCTGGATTGTGGCTTAACTAAGATGAGCCTTAAAAAAAGATGACAATATAGTTCCTGTCGTAAAACATTTTACATGGAAAAGTTATTAACACTTCACCTTCAATATCCAGTTGATTTAAAATGTCAGCAGCTACTGCATCCACCTCCAATTCACAGGTACTTTGTGGCTCAACACCTTTCAACATTAAAGAGCTGTGACAACATAAATACCAGAGAGGTTAATTTTATCAATATGTTGATTTTGAAACGTGCGTCATCACTGTTTTCTAAATGGACTAACATCTAAAATATTTCAGGGGGAATGAAGGCGAGTACCTGAATACAGAATTACCAGTTCTCATCCTCACCTGCAAGTCCTTAAATTAATGGTCATATTCAAGTCTAATTAGATGAGAAATTTGTACCTTCAACTTAGACAGATTAGTTTTTTCTTTTGTGGGGAGGAGAGAAAGAAGTGGTAAACAACTCTAAATACTACAGCAATTACAATAATGTTCTCCTCAAATACAAGATGAAACGTTCTACAGAACTCTCAGCCAATAGAACCACCTGCATTTGCATGATCTTGCGCCCAGAAAACATAGTGGCAAGAATTTTTCTCTCTCATTCACAGTTCAGAGCAATGCAAAACAGTTTCACATTTTCAACTAAGGGAAATGAAGCAAAAAATGTTTTATTTTTCAGATTTTTTTATTTATTTAGGGGCTTAGGGGTAGCCTGGTGAATATAAACAGAGTATTAGCACCCCAAACATGAGCAGAACTAAGGATAATTGGTGTGGTAAAGACTTAAAATACTACAAACAGATTCAAGCTTGTTGTATAATGATATGATCATCTTCCTACCATGCCTTTTCAGATCTGCTAAGGTCAGCGGCCTTCCACCTGTTGCTGTCAGTGAACTAATTTTAAGGAGTCCATGGAGGAAGCTAGGAAAGAGAAACCTTCTCCCGCGTTTATGTGGAAGCTTGTTTACCTTTGAAAATTTTTAGGGAAACACAGAAACCCTCCCCAAAGCTCCCCATGGTTAAAACAATGCTATTCTTCAGGACCCTTTGTCTAGGTTAATTAACTGGTGACTTACAAGATCTACTTGTATTCCTACATTCCCTGACATACACACAGCTTCAAAAATCTCAGCATGGAATATAAGATATAATGCATTAATATTTTCAATGCTCTCTATAGGCTTTGAATAGAAGTCACTATAGTGCAAGGAGGTAGTAGCTGATGTAATTAAAAGCTGGATATCCCCGACATCTTCTTTGAAAAGTAAGTATTTAACCATCTAGAAAAATGAAATCTGAAAGAAACGTAAAATTAACTGCTTCACTTATGTTGCGGACGACACCAAGCTGAGTGGTGCAGTTGACATGCAAGGTCCTGCACCTGGGTCAGGGCAACCCCTGGTACCCATACAGGCTGGGTGATGAGGGGATTGAGAACAGCCCTGCAGAGAAGAACTTGGGGGTACTGGTGGATGAAAAGCTGGACATGAGCCACAGAGCTCACAGCCCAGAATGCCAACTGTACCCTGGGCTGCATCAAAAGCAGCGTTACCAGCAGGTCGAGGGGGGTGATCCTGCCCCTCTGCTCCACTCTGGTGAGACCCCACCTGCAGTACTGCCTTAAGGTCTAGGGTCCTCAGCACAGGAAAGACATGGATGTGTTGGAGTGGGTCCAGAGGAGGGCCACAAAATTACCAGAGGAATAGAACACCTCTCCTATGAGGAAAGGCTGAGAGAGCTGGGGTTGTTCTGCCTGAAGAGATGGCTCTGGGGAGACCTCATTGCGGCCTTTCAATACTTGAAGGAGGCTTATAAGAAAGATGGGGACAAACGTTTTAGTAGGGCCTGAAGCCATAGGACAAGGGGTAATGGTTTTAAACTAGAAGAGGATGGATTTAGACTAGATATAAGGATGAAATTTTTTATGAGGGTGGTGAAACACTGGAACAGGTTGCCCAGAGAGGTGGTAGATGCCCCATCCCTGGAAACACTCAAGATCAGGTTGGATGGGGCTCTGAGCAACCTGATCTAATTGAAGATGTCCCTGCTCATTGCAGAGGGAGTTGGACTAGATGACCTTTAAAGGTCCCTTCCAACCCAAACTGTTCTATGTAAGAGCAAAAATCTAATGACTTCTCAGAAAACATCAGAGAACTCAACCACAAAAATATTTTGAGTTTCTAAAAGGCTTCAGGGTATCATATTTACTATCAAGAGATAAGATACCATGCCAAGAAAAAAACCCAAAACTGACCCCTTCACCACATTCCCAATCTGTAGTATTCTAGAAAAGAAAAATATTTACTTCTAAACTCCTTTTGCAGAGGCCTATGACACAGACCATCAGCAAACTATAAACTACATGAAGTTAGGACTGAAGCTAGTTCAGACACATGCTCTTCGTTAAGAGGGTCATCTAGGGGCAAAGCATATAGATTTGCTCAATAGAGAGCTAACTAAAACTGCTAGGATGCCTCCTGCAAGAAAGCGCCAAAATATTTTTCCTGACTTTGAGGCAGCAGAAGACCAAGAGGTTCTCTCAAATGCACTGCAGCAATTAAATTGGTTTAAACAACCTGAACCCAAACTTAAAGGGCTGCTTTCATGGTAGCTTCAGTGGTCTACTGCTTTACCACCACACCAGAACTCCTGACATACTTAGCCCATGTGAAGAGTCCACATTGTAAGTGAAGTACAGAACAAAGGGGTACTTCTAAACAGGTGCAACATTTCTCCTGTCTCACTTCCTCCTGGCCCTCAGCTTTCCTTGCTTCCCCCAAAAGAACAACCCTTTCCTCCACAAACTGAGGTCCTAGTGCCCAAAGGGCAAAGGCTGAGGTACGTTCAAAACAAGAAAGGGTGTGGGGACAGGGACACACAACACAACAAATTAAGAGGGCTACTTATCTGAAGGGATATCACAATGTGAGCTTATTGACTGCTGCCCAGTTTTGTCAGTAGAATGGAGTTCTGAAGTGTATCAATGTACCATATGACTTAGTTTAAGATACCAAACCCATTCATTCGTGATTACAAAAGCAAGAACTATTTATTAGGTCCACAATAGTGCATCAACTTCATAAAGAAGAAGAAAGGCACTGGCAAACAAATACTTTGCTTCGTAAGACTGTTAAGTGGCGGTATCACACATAGAGAAAACCAACATTGTTAGGCTGTAACTATTTTATTACGCCTGTATCTATTTGTCCACCTATGAAGAAATAATGTCAGTCAACTGAAATACCAACTGCATTTTGCATAATGCAGAAATAGCTTCCTGCATTGTTAGAGAGAACACCAAAACCTTACAAGGAAATCAGAAAATTATTTTTACCATAAAAGAATGAAGTTCTGGAAAAGTGCACTTTTTTTTTTTTTTTTTTTAAATCTCCAGTGGAGATAGAAAACCCCAGTAAACTTACAGCTTGTTAGCTTAACTGTTTAGGCAAAGAACTGGACAAGACGGAAATAAACAATGTTAGAAATGTGAGCAGAAATTAAACCAGTCCTAGAATATCTATTTACCTGCACTTACAAGGGAAAAGACAGAGAGGACTGAAAGCAGATCTAGTTATTTGGTCATTGACTCTTTCTATATATCACAGTAATACAAAGTTCAATTTGTATTACTAGTTCAATTGCTCAGCTGATGCGTAACTTGATTCTGGGGTAAGAAAGAAATATTCTCCTATGAAAGGCTGATAGGGTTTACTGTGATAACCTCAACCTCTCTACAGCAGACTCAGCTTTCAAGAATCATCTCTGCTCTCCTGTATCACATTATAATAGTGGAATTTTTATTGGAAAGTAAAATCCTGTGTTATACATACTATGAAACTGAGAAACAAAACAGAAATCTCAGCAATTGGATTTTTAATGGAGTGACGGATAAGAAAAAAGGAATAGGCATCCTGAAAATCTATTTTAGAAACTGCCTGACACTTAACATTTTGAAAGCATATAGTTTAAAAGCAGAGAAAACAAAGTTTCCAGAGTAATTTCTTGGCAGCCATACTTTTAAAATTTATGATGTCACATTTTGTGGCTGCATTAATTCAGTAAACGTATTTTTCACTCTGTATGTAAATGTATGTTTCACTCGGTCACAGCAAAAGAAGGCAGAGCAGGATATTTCTTTATTCTAAACATCCGAAAGTAGTCTGGCAGAAGTTGTGAAGCGCTTATGTAGAATTCATTAACAACTGTAAGATGCTGTGCATTAATATATGATTACTAATCCTCCAGTCAGCAGTACTGTTTTGGAGTTATTGTGAGAATTAAGAGAGCAGATCATAGAACTCCTGAACCAAAGCAGCTCAGCCTTAGCAGAAGTAGACTGCCCATGCCCTAATGCACACTTAAAGGACAATTCATTGTCATCGCTTCCCTCCCTTCCCAGTCATGCCATCAGCTGAGAAACAAGTCCATAATATGATCAAAATGCATACTGTTCATGTCACTCACTTTGGGTGCGCGTGTTCATCAAAGCATTCAAACAGAGCCTGCCTGCATGGCGGGCGACAGGAACTGCAGGCAAGCTGAGACTTGCATTTTGATCACATAATAAGAAAGAACTGTAAGATCACTGGGAAACAAGAATGAGGGAGGAGACCACAAAAATTTTGTCTGCTCCCTTCATGAAAGCAAAGTGTTTCTGGGAACAAATGAAAAGGTACCACAATACACAATGGTCATTTATATCAGAAGAGTTTCTGATTTTAATACTTTTTTTTGCTAATGGCACATGTAAATGACCAGAAATCTGGTCAAGATCTGCCCTTGACTTGTTTGGTAGATACAACAGCAAAACTCTTGAGCTTTCTACTTTCGCTGATTTCCCCTTTAAAAAGAATACAATTAAAAAAAAGGGGGGGGGGAGTGGAAGAGAGAAAAAAAGAGAATTCTTGAAAAGTTTAAGACAAGATACATTTTTAGTGTTAGTAACCTATTTCTGAAGAGTTTGTTTGATGAGTAAAACCATTAAACTGAAACATTTGCCTTTCCTCCAACAAAAAGACAGCTTTCCATTCTTTTCCCTTTAACTAGTTCGGACATTTTGTAAAAAAACAAACATGTTTTGGTTTTCCACATCCCCATCAAGAGTGTGGCCAGTGATTTGCCTTAAGAACTGATCAATACCACAGAGAGAATTGGCCAAGAGCTTTCCAAATAATCAGATTTCTTA